AAGTTTTTATATATTTTTGTGCTATGAAATAATTCTGAGCAATGATCAGGTCTGATCTCATAAGAACCAACTGTGTAACAATCTCGTTAATATGGACAGAGATAACTTTAAAAACGGAATTGCAAACCAGACAGTAAAATAGTATTCTAATGCAATTCGTGTGTAACGATAATTTTCATAGGAAGTTGACAAATATTTTGAAGTATTTGATTTTAAGTTCTACCAGGTCGTAAATAAGGAAAGTCACCATTTTGAATTCCCTTTTTTTTTTTTTTTTGGTATGAAAATTCTCACAAAATAAACAAAAAACACATTTAGTGACTCAAAATCTTCTTCTTTCGTCTTAACCATTTGGAAGCATATGGAAAAATAGGTTAGTGTTTATGTTTGACTTCATACCTATATTAAACACAAATAACTCCAAGGTAAATTTAAAAAAAAGGGCGACGTCCATAAAACCTGATAAAATCAAACGCTTGACTATATCAAACGACTGACATATTCCTGACTTGGTATAGACATTGTCTGAAGAAATCGGGGGAGGGGGGTCAAACCTGATTTTATAGCTAGCTTAAGCTCTCACTTGTATGACAACTGTGTATAGTTTAGCTATATTAACAAAATTTCAAAAGAGTATACCAAAACGTACTGGCTTACAACGTCCAAAACAATTGAAATTCCACCAATGACGTGACGTGAAGCTGTTTTCATTTTAGGGTACGAACTATGAGATTGGTACGAGATTACTCATAGTCCTTAATTTTGGGGTACGAGATTACCCATAGTCCTTTAGATTCTGAAACGGTGAATTTGTTAACGTGAGAACTATTGGGATTCGTCAGTCAAACTGTGTGAACATATATCACAGACGTGAGAACTATTGGGATTCGTCAGTCAAACTGTGTGAACATATATCACAGACATGAGAACTATTGGGATTCATCAGTCAAACTGTGTGAACATATATCACAGACGTGAGAACTATTGGGATTCGTCAGTCAAACTGTGTGAACATATATCACAGACATGAGAACTATTGGTCAGTCAAACTGTGTGAACATATATCACAGACATGAGAACTATTGGTCAGTCAAACTGTGTGAACATATATCACAGACGTGAGAACTATTTGTCAGTCAAACTGTGTGACCATATATCACAGACATGAGAACTATTGGGACTCATCAGTCAAACTGTGTGAACATATATCACAGACATGAGAACTATTGGGATTCATCAGTCAAACTGTGTGAACATATATTTCAGACGTGAGAACTATTGGGATTCATCAGTCAAACTGTGTGAACATATATCTCAGACGTGAGAACTATTGGTCAGTCAAACTGTGTGAACATATATCACAAACGTAAGAACTATTGGGATTCGTCAGTCAAACTGTGTGAACATATATCTCAGACGTGAGAACTATTGGTCAGTCAAACTGTGTGAACATATATCACAAACGTGAGAACTATTTGGATTCATCAGTCAAACTGTGTGAACATATATCTCAGACGTGAGAACTATTGGTCAGTCAAACTGTGTGAACATATATAACAAACATGAAAACTATTGGGATTCGTCAGTCAAACTGTGTGAACGTATATCTCAGACGTTAGAACTATTGGTCACTCAAACTGTGTGAACATATATCACAAACGTGAGAACTATTAGGATTCATCAGTCAAACTGTGTGAACATATATCTCAGACGTGAGAACTATTGGTCAGTCAAACTGTGTGAACATATATCACAAACGTGAGAACCATATGGATTCGTCAGTCAAACTGTGTGAACATTTATCTCAGACGTGAGAACTATTGGTCAGTCAAACTGTGTGAACATAGATCACAAACGTGAGAACTATTGGGATTCATCAGTCAAACTGTGTGAACATATATCTCAGACGTGAGAACTATTGGTCAGTCAAACTGTGTGAACATATATTACAAACGTGAGAACTATTGGGATTCGTCAGTCAAACTGTGTGAACATATATCTAAGACGTGAGAACTATTGGTCAGTCAAACTGTGTGAACATATATCACAAACGTGAGAACTATTGGGATTCGTCAGTCAAACTGTGTGAACATATATCTCAGACGTGAGAACTATTGGTCAGTCAAACTGTGTGAACATATATCACAAACGTGAGAACTATTGGGATTCGTCAGTCAAACTGTGTGAACATATATCTAAGACGTGAGAACTATTGGTCAGTCAAACTGTGTGAACATATATCACAAACGTGAGAACTATTGGGATTCGTCAGTCAAACTGTGTGAACATATATCTCAGACGTGAGAACTATTGGTCATTCAAACTGTGTGAACATATATCACAAACGTGAGAACTATTGGGATTCGTCAGTCAAACTGTGTGAACATATATCACAGACGTGAGAACTATTGGGATTCGTCAGTCAAACTGTGTGAACATATATCACAGACGTGAGAACTATTGGGATTCGTCAGTCAAACTGGGTGAACATATATCACAGACGTGAGAACTATTGGGATTCGTCGGTCAAACTGTGTGATCATATATCACAGACGTGAGAACTATAAGGATTCGTCAGTCAAACTGTGTGAACATATATCACAAACGTGAGAACTATTGGGATTCATCAGTCAAACTGTGTGAACATATATCTCAGACGTGAGAACTATTGGTCAGTCAAACTGTGTGAACATATATCACAGACGTGAGAACTATTGGGATTCGTCAGTCAAACTGTGTGAACATATATCACAGATGTGAGAACTATTGGGATTCATCAGTCAAACTGTGTGAACATATATCACAGACGTGAGAACTATTGGGATTCATCAGTCAAACTGTGTGAACATATATCACAGATGTGAGAACTATTGGGATTCATCAGTCAAACTGTGTGAACATATATCACAAACGTGAGAACTATTGGGATTCATCAGTCAAACTGTGTGAACATATATCACAGACGTGAGAACTATTGGGATTCATCAGTCAAACTCTGTGAACATATATCACAGACACGAGAACTATTGGGATTCATCAGTCAAACTGTGTGAACATATATCACAAACGTGAGAACTATTGGGATTCGTCAGTCAAACTGTGTGAACATATATCACAGACGTGAAAACTATTGGGATTCGTCAGTCAAACTGTGTGAACATATATCACAAACGTGAGAACTATTGGGATTCGTCAGTCAAACTGTGTGAACATATATCACAAACGTGAGAACTATTGGGATTCGTCAGTCAAACTGTGTGAACATATATCACAAACGTGAGAACTATTGGGATTCGTCAGTCAAACTGTGTGAACATATATCTTAAACGTGAGAACTATCCGGATTCATCATTCAAACTGTGTGAACATATATCACAGACATGAGAACTATTGGGATTCATCAGTCAAACTGTGTGAACATATATCACAAACGTGAGAACTATTGGGATTCATCAGTCAAACTGTGTGAACATATATCACAGACGTGAGAACTATTGGGATTCATCTGTCAAACTGTGTGAACATATATCACAAACGTGAGAACTATTGGGATTCATATGTCAAACTGTGTGAACATATATCACAGACATGAGAACTATTGGGATTCATCAGTCAAACTGTGTGAACATATATCACAGACATGAGAACTATTGGGATTCATCAGTCAAACTTTGTGAACATATATCACAGACGTGAGAACTATTGGGATTCATCTGTCAAATTGTGTGAACATATATCACAAACGTGAGAACTATTGGGATTCATCTGTCAAACTGTGTGAACATATATCACAAACGTGAGAACTATTTTGATTCATCAGTCAAACGGTGTGAACATATATCACAAACGTGAGAACTATTGGGATTCATCAGTCAAACTGTGTGAACATATATCACAAACGTGAGAACTATTGGGATTCATCAGTCAAACTGTGTGAACATATATCACAAACGTGAGAACTATTGGGATTCATATGTCAAACTGTGTGAACATATATCACAGACATGAGAACTATTGGGATTCATCAGTCAAACTGTGTGAACATATATCACAGACATGAGAACTATTGGGATTCATCAGTCAAACTTTGTGAACATATATCACAGACGTGAGAACTATTGGGATTCATCTGTCAAATTGTGTGAACATATATCACAAACGTGAGAACTATTGTGATTCATCAGTCAAACTGTGTGAACATATATCACAAACGTGAGAACTATTGGGATTCATCAGTCAAACTGTGTGAACATGTATCACAAACGTGAGAACTATTGGAATTCATCAGTCAAACTGTGTGAACATATATCACAGACGTGAGAACTATTGGGATTCATCTATCAAACTGTGTGAACATATATCACAAACGTGAGAACTATTGGGATTCATATGTCAAACTGTGTGAACATATATCACAAACGTGAGAACTATTGGGATTCATCAGTCAAACTGTGTGAACATATATCACAGACATGAGAACTATTGGGATTCATCAGTCAAACTTTGTGAACATATATCACAGACGTGAGAACTATTGGGATTCATCTGTCAAATTGTGTGAACATATATCACAAACGTGAGAACTATTGGGATTCATCTGTCAAACTGTGTGAACATATATCACAAACGTGAGAACTATTGTGATTCATCAGTCAAACTGTGTGAACATATATCACAAACGTGAGAACTATTGGGATTCGTCAGTCAAACTGTGTGAACATATATCACAGACATGCAAACACAACTGACTTAAAATATTCTTTTTCCTGTTTCATAGTGAGTATACTCTAAATTTAATTTTGTTGACCATTTATGAATATTGATTCAACCTGCAATTTATCGCTGACAGGCGAAAACCAGAATGCTGTGACGTACACGATAGTTTGAGCGTTACAGCATGACACCAGGAGATTATACGTATATTACTTCGGTTTATCTCTACACTTGTATTTGTCTAGTAAAATGGTCTAAGCTTTAGTATACTATATTGATGAGGACGAATGATGGAAAAAATCATTTCAAGGACATTTTAGCAGAAATGTTCACATGTATTGTAAATTCTACAATACAATGCACTATCCAATCTATATTGCTGTACCACAAGTAGTTCCTGTAAAAAAAAATAGTACTAGTAGTCTAATACTTCTAAGGTCTTAACAGCATAATTGAATGATAAAGGTGCTTGGTGGGCAGTTCTTTTCGGTTGTCAGTTGAACTTTTGTAATCTGAAATGAAAAAATTAAAGCTATATGTACATGTACATTTGTAGTTCAACAGTCTTCCAAATAGGATGAATTTGCTTCCATGCAAACACCATTTTCAAACATTAATCAATTAATATGCAACTGTCTCTAAAAATAAAACACATTAAACAAGTTTCTCAAAAAAGATTCTTACAAAAAACAGATACAACATTGTAGTTAAAAAGACCAAACTTTACACCATGTCAAAGCAAATACATCAAAGGGAACAATAGCATGCAAGGTTTTATATTTTTTAAAACAAAGTTCTCGTTTTTTGAAAGATACAGCCTTTTCTCTTATCATGCTTATCAATTAAATATTTTTCTAGATTTACCTATTTTGCTTTATCAACAGGATGAATACTAGAGCATCATTTAACCTTAATTTTTCAATTGGCTACCTAATAATATGCTTATATATGTTTACTTACATCTGATTTTTAAATAAGGTCATCCTTTTCTTTCTTCATTGTTTTATATCTGATCTTTGCCTCAATGTGATCAATAAAATGGATTAATTCTAGGTCTGTTCATTCCCTCTTCAGTGTCACAGTCCTATAAATACATGCATATTCAAATAATTATTATAGGTTTAAATAATATTTCATAACTTGACAAATAGAGTGTAACTAAAATTTCAGTGTTTATATGTGTAAAGGATGTTGCACTATGGGCCATTGGAATCTTATTTCTAGCAAATTTAAAATACTTAAAACTATGATTTTATTTACGGGTGCGAAGAATTTCACCTGTATAGTATGTACATAAAATCTCAATAATGTTTCACCAAGGATTTGTATAGCGCAAATACAAATCTTTGGTTTCACTAACAAAATCAAGATTCATATATTTAAACGTGTTGATAGTCATGATAGATTGACTGTTTCTTCTGATGATACAGTGAACTACAATTGAACATCCAAGGCATTTTGATTGAAATTTTCAGATTAAACCAGGTTTTATAGCTAACTAAACCTCTCACGTGTATGACAGTCGCATAGAATTTCAATTATATTGACAGCGATGTGTGAGCAAGGGAAAGGGAAGCTGGCAGTTTTTGTGCCACTTTATGGGTGAGCAAAAAATAATTACTCTTTTGCCGCCTGCGTGAAAATAAAAAAATAAAAAAGTTATCTAGTCGTTTTTTATTGGGAAATAAATATTCTGCTCCCATTAAATTTTCCAGCCCACACAACCTTCCCCCTTGAATTAAGTTCGTTCCAATTTTCAGAGTCGGAATTATGTGGGACAGGGGGCCCGCACCACTTTTGGAAATACATATAGGTTCATGCATAGATTTTTAACATGTCCCACTCCTAATGTATCCTGGTTTGTGCCCGAGTCTCCTTTTTACAAAATCTGCATCTGCTTACCTTCCACTGCTGTAATTATTAAGCTGGCTTTTGATTCCTTCATTATTCTAATGAGATGATCTGTATCTGTTGCATCGGCAATATATAAACATGCTTGGTCGATGAGATCTATTGTTTTAAATTTTGTTTGTCTTTGGCGGGTCTGAAGGCATCTGTATCAAATTACAACGAAGGATAACTCTGTTCGTTGATAATATCCGATCGCAGTCGGACAACGACTCCGGAAATTTGATAAAATATTCACTCATATCTTCCTTATGGATACCATAAAGATCATATTAAAAAAGTAATTGCTTAATATATACACATTTGAATTGAAAGTAAATCTATAATCTAGTCTATTATGAGTTTACAATACAAAAAGGGGGAACTTTTGAGAAAGATATGTTCTCGACAACTATAGTTATATTAAAAGTAACTCATACTTGGTACTGATTTGTAAATAAGTATCTGTTCCATAATTTTCATTTCAAGACAACCGAGATAGTGTCACAGAATACGTTGAAACTCGTAGAAACATCGGGTGAAAGCAGAACTGAAGTGGTATAATGTGTTTAGGTGTTTAAGAAAGTGTTTTAGAAGTGTTTAGATGCCATTTAATGTTTAGCTAACTTATAGCATTTGCAGATTATAAACCTGCAACACGTTTAAATTCTACACATGTTTGGGTTTCATTGTGTTTACGTAAATATCAGTTTAGATCCTAAATGTTTCCTAAACATGTTGTAGATGCGTTTCAATCCTGAACGCTATTTTTACAGTGTATACATTGCCGAACAAAAATAATATACGTTTTTAAATTTTTTTTTTTATCCATTTCTTAAACATACACCTCCCCCAGGCAGATTTAGCACAACTTATTTTATTTTTTTTTCAATGTTTTTTCAATGCTTATAAACTTCAGTCTTTCAACTACTTCGACTTAAGCACTATTGAGTTCCTTTGGATTGACAAAACGCGCGTCTGCGGTATTAAATTATAATCCTGGTATCTTTGGAGTGTATAATTTTTCTTCTTCTCGTATTTTACCTTGTAAAACGTATTTCTTACTTAAAAAAGGCTATCAGTTTTGCATCAACTTATGAATCAGAATATGTTTTAAGCGTTTAGTGCAACAGTTTTTATTATTTCCTTTTTGAATAGTTTCATATTCTAACTTTGTTTAGTCAAAAAGATAAATAAGCGAGGACTTTTGTATTCTGGAAATGTTACATTTATTTAGTGTACATTATGTTTAAAGTTAAATTCTATTTATGAATATCTTCTTTCAGAAATGCTGAACGATATATTCATAGAGGTTAAGAATAATACTTCGTACGAAATAGGTAACACTAAAATAAAAACAATAAAATGCAAAAAAAAAAAAACAAAAACAAACAAAAAAAAAAACAACTCGATAATATATTTTTGATATACATGAACTAAGTTCAACTAAAAAGAAACATAACTTGAATTCGATTTGACACGAATTTTAATACGATTGCATTATTGTCGATGATATGTTTAATAGAATATGTTATCAATAGTTGAACGTCAGCTCTCATAGTCGAATAATATCGTGCAGAAACTTCAGAACATGATTGATATTGAAGAAACGTGTAGGTTCGATTCTCTTGAATGACATTCGTTTTTGGTATATAAGTAGTTTAAAGTGTAAAGTCAATTGCAATCGACAGTAGATTATTACATCAGGTGTACAGAAAAGCCGAAGAGATGCCGAACGATATACGATTATTCTCCGTGTAACCTGCTTATGTTGACATTGACCGAACGTCCAAATTCCTGTTAACGTCTCAGTTCAATCGGGATTCCTCGCGTAAGTGATAATAATCTACAATTAGAACTAACTTTCGCGGTTTTCGATTGTTAGATGCGGGAATAATCGTCTGATCTGCAAATTAACCGTTTTTGTTCTATTCCCGATTGTGACAATTTGTCTGAATGTGGATTTGCATTGCGGGTGATGCATGCATCGCAGTAGAGACCAACCTTATCGACGCCGCACAGGTCTCGCTCCTTTTGAAGTTCATGCAATTCCTTTAGGTTTTGTGTTTTTACCTTGTGATTTGAACATCGGGAAGCTACTGCTTCCTCTTATGTACAATAAGCCAAAACCAGAGACACAGATTAAACCATAGAACATTCTTTAATATAATATTTACATGATTTGATATGGATGTAACGACGTCACTGATTCATGGGATAAACTAGCATTCATAATCGAACAATGTGTTTTGACCAACAGCACACCCGTAGCCAGGGGGGTTCGAGGGATTCGTACGAACCCCCCCCCCCCCCCCCCCCCCCCTCTCACCCCTGAAAACAAATAAGCACTGTTAAAGTCGACGTTCTGTTTGAATTGTAACTGTTAAAGTTTAGTATGATTGTATCGAACCCCCCTTGGAAATTCCTGGCTACGGGCCTGAACACTACGATGTTAATCCACTATGTACAACATTTACATATGCAGCTATACATATATAAGTATCATGTCGACCACAAGGTTTGACTGGGATGTAGAAATATGGACATAATGGCAGTACAAACCCTTGCTGAATTGGACTGTTTGTTTGACTGTGCTTTTGTATAAAAGCACAACCGATTCTGTATGTTACTTGAATTTTTACAAGTCATTTGTTTTGCCATTTTCCCGACACATCCCCTTTTCAAGTAAAAGTTCGAAATCCCCTTCTTTAATCATGTTGACCTTCCTAGTGCTGATTTGTTAGTTCTGAATACTTAGCATGGATAATACAATGGGAGTAAAGCAAACAACAATCAACCAAAATTACATCATTTCTGCTTCATTTTTTATAGCTCTGTTTCACCTTTTAACCAAGACGTTTATCCTGAAGAAATTATCAAAATACACATACACGTACCTAGATTTATTAAGGATGTCACTTAATTCATGTTATATAGTTACGAGAAAAGATCAGGACATAATGACTTCACATATTCAAATTAATCGATTTTGATTGATCATATCTTATCTGGTATCCGCTTTTTTAAAAATGCTCAGACTTCCTCGTCTGATAAACAAATATTGTTCCCTAAAGACAAATTAATCTATCAACATTTTTTTCATTAAAATTTAAATAACTTAAATATTATTATCATGCAAAAGAACTTGATTATTTGGGGTTATTTGGAGATTTAAATCTTGCCATGTTTACCTGTGAAATTTAGATATTATCTCCCTTTGCGAAATAGTTTTTTTTTTATAATATCCCAAATAACAAAATTTTTTTCTAATATTTTCTCTTGATTATAAACATTATTGCTAATTAATAATATACGTCTTCTCCCAGATAGATATTGATATGTTTTTTGCCGTAGATAGATGTTTTAATTGCAAGCTGAATATGGTAGTATTCAAATAGAACGTACCGCTTGTATAGTACTATTGTAAAATATAGGCTATAAATACAAGTCAATTACATGCATAGTTGTACTCGCTTCGGCAGTACATATACTAAAATTGGAACGATACAGAGAAGATTAGCATGGCCCCTGCGCAAGGATGACACGCAAATTCGTGAAGCGTTCCATATTTTTTCTACATTTTATTTCTCAATTATTAAATGTTGAAGGTCTTGTGCCCCCCCCCTCCCCCCCCCCCCCCCCCCCCCCCATTATATGAACTTGCACCAGGGATTTTTCTTCACACACTTTTTGCAATCGCATTAATTAGGTATTGTATTGTTACCAGTCACCAGTGATCTGCAATAATAGATTCATGCATTAATTTCTGAATTTACAGACTAAGATTTCGCAAATATATTTCCCGTGGAGGAATACTTTAATGATAAAGTGGTAGCGGGGCATGGTGTTCTGTGTACACATTTTCCTGTTTGATATATTTTAATTTCTTTGTTCAATTTTGCCTTGAATACTTAATTATAAGATATCATGAAAGATTATTGTGTAAGTTGTGGGTCTAATAAAATACAACATAGAATTAGGTTTAATCCTCCATTTTGCTTTAAAATTTGTTGTTCAATAAGTAATTTGAAAATGACGAATAACAAAATATGTGTAGTAATCGTAATTAACAAAGCATAATTATAAACTAGTTATACAAAAAAGGGAAAGGTTGAGATCTTAAAAAAAAAACAAGTTTACCTCCACCCAACATTTCCATGTGTATGTCCAAAATTCAGCAACCTCGTTAGTAGTTGTTGTATGTCACATTTTAATGTTTTTCGATGTTTTGAGAATTTGGTTGAAATGATAGATCTTAATAGACATTTCTCTGTGCTGAGTGTTCTTGCGTTTGTTTGTACTGTATTCCAGTCACGTAGTATTGTCATTTTAGCGGTATTTTAACATTGCCATAAAACCAGGTTCAACCCACCATTTTTTCATAAAATGTCCTGTACCAATTAAGTTTGGAATATGGCAGTTGTTATCAGACAGTCCGTTTCTATGTATGTTGGCGTTTGCTTTTGTTGTAGTTCAGTGTTACTGTTGTTCCGTTGTTTTCCTCTTATAATTGATGCGTTTCCCTCGGTTTTAGTTTGTTACCAGGATTTGTTTTTGCTTAATCGAATTATGACTATTGAACAGCGGTATACTACTGTTGCTTTTATTGATGCAGAATTTTCTTTCGAAACACTATGTTTTTTTTCTATAACACGACATATATGTGCTCTGTTTCGAAATTTTTCATACCTTTAACATTTACACTATTTTCTTTCAAAAACTATTAAAACTACCAAGGACTCTGAAAAATTAAAAACAAAGTCCTTTTAAACTATATGTAATAAAACTATGAAATGAAAAATAGGGGTTGGCGGGGAAAATGCGTAATTGCACTTCATGGATAAAACAAGAGGTTTCCTAATATCTAATAAACAGTCAAAAACATGAGTAGCGAACATTCTTAAGAGGGTAGACCTGGGAAAAGGTAGATAACTCTTTTTATCAGCAATACGTTAGTTAGTTTCATCAATGATTTCTTTGCACTAATGTGAAACAGAACTGAAATAGTCTCTGTAACTTAAAGGCTTTTGGCCTACTTCCTTAAGCAGTGACATGATCATTCAGCTTACAAGAAAATATGTTTTATTCTTTACCCGTAAAGATGGAAGGCTGTAGATTAATCAACGCTTTACTTGTTTCTTTTTACATACATATATTTTTGTCATTATAGTAGGCTCATTTTCAAATCTTTTTTATGGTATGATTAAACCTCTAGACAAAAATTATACTTATCTAGCTTGTTATTTTGGTTTTTTCCTATGGCGTAATTCGATAGATGATACACAAATACATGCAATGTACACTTATCATACAATCAAACATATTTCATATACTTTCATTAGTCCTCTAGTCGGTCCTAAATTGCACACATATGCTGTGTACTATGTATGTTAAACATTTTACCTTAAAGGTAATATTACTGATACATGTACCACCAACTCAAATGACAATTTAGTGAAATGAGTGCTCAATGTTTGTATGATTGAGTAAAGTAAAGACTCAATGAAATACAAAAATACTATGATTTAATACAATACAATACAAAACTATGTTAACAAAATCACAAAAATAGTTAAAATTATTGTATAAAATGATCTAAATATTAAAACAGATTCAGAAGCGTTCGTATGTGAAGATTTCTTAGTGGTTCCTTTAGGTGAGACTGTTGTTGGCGTTTCAGGTAAGTCTATAAATAGTTTATCTATTATATGTATAAGTCCATTTGAAGATAAAATATTGGCATGTACTACTCTTGAATGAGTATTATTCCACTTTAGAAACATTTCTGAAACAAGAAAATAAAATGTTTTCAATATGTCAGATATAATGAAATACTATTTCACTGTCTGTTATTTTGGTATTTTTATGGCACGAAAACAAAGCAAAATATACATGTCAATTATTGTTGTGTCTGACATACATATTCATTATATGTGTCTGTAATTTTTTTCAATAGTTTTCAATTTGTAGTACCTTTCCTTTATGACAGCTTGATGAAGGAGTGCATATGTTTGTGATGTGATGTTTTAGATATTCTATTTTAAATGCAATATGTTGTATTATTTGTACTAGTAACTATTCAGATATTATTGACATGAAAGAAAAATTACATTTCAATGCTCTAGAACTTCGAACTTTATTCGATCCTTTGAACCTTTTTTATTCGGAGGCACTGGAGTGTCTTTTGTACACGAAACATGCGCATCGAGCACACAATTATAAGCCTGGTATCTTTGATGAATTAAAATTAAAGATAATTGTTCGGATATTTAGTTTTGGCTCCTTTATGATTTTATGTACTTAATTATCTGTTTTTATCAGTACATTTATTTATTACGCAAACCTACAGAAAAAATAGATGTTGAATTCTGTTTGAATAATCTCAGTTCAAAATATCAATGATGATTTTGATAGATTTATAATACGTCGTGATTTTCGATTTTAAGCGGGAAATAATGTTTTCTAATAATACTCTCTCCTTTATATTTCAACTAAACCGTTTAAACAATTCATACGACAATCACAGGAGCTTTTGTGAAATGATAGAAAGGTAAAATAAGTTTCTACGAAACCAAAATTGACCATATATGGGTTTGGCTATTCTTTTCAAATGCCTTTATGGTCACACAGCTCCTCGCGCGATCAGGTATTTATATACCTTTAGCTTTCGCAGATTTGGGATTGAGTTCTTGGTGAGAGTAAATTCAGAAGAAAACAATTCGAACTTTTTCAATTTCCAAAGAGTTATTTAATTTTGTATTTGTATCCTCTGCGGGCTTTGAAACAGGAATTAACCCATACATACCATTTTCAACATATTCGGCAGTAACATTATTTTTCATTTTCCCTTTCTGAGATATATCTTTTACTGTTAACACATGTCCATCTATTATATGTCGTGCATAAAACTAAAAAATATAAATAAAATAAAATGCGGTATGATTGATAAGAAGAAAACTATTCAAAACAGACCAAAGAATTTAAACAATTACCGGTCACCGAAAGACCTTTAAAGTCACAGGAAACAAAGTTTTGAATAGTTTGTTTTTCATCAACATTAACAATGTGTATTGTAATTGCAAGATTTTCACCGCAGTAGCAGTCATAAATTAATGTTTTTATATGGACTTAAAAGACCATATAGAAAGTCAATTTTGGATAACTTAATCCTAAGTTATAATTTGAAACTTGTTTCTACAAAAGACTAAATAATCATGTACCTCTTCCTTCTCATGTTCTGTAATACTATCTAGAAAATCCACTGCTGTTTTAGAAAGACTGTCAACAACAAAGGCTGCAGGCAGGAATAGTGTAAAATTTCTATCAGGTTGTCGAAGTCTGTCACCACTATCAGATGGCCAAAACCTCAACATGTAGTTTAAGGCATGTCTGAAACAACAATAAAAAGAAAATGTACACCCCCTGACATCTGCAATGTTATTGAATAACACTTTATTAGAAACACGTTCCATTTATTTATCTGTTGTTAATGTTGATTCAAGCACAACCACTGCATGCATTCCGTAGTCATATTTAATTTTTGTAAATAATTCTAGTTATTCTAATTAGTTTTTGGGGAATCGTTTTACAATTGGTTTAATTTTCGTGTATTAAAAAACTGAAACATAAAAAAATAAACATAGAAAATTATGAAAATATGCACAGATATTTTGGTTTTTTAATACGTGTTTCTTTTGCGTAGTTAAAAGACTGAGAAAATTCAAAATTCAAAGTATATTAAATTAAAAATATACGTACAGATAACTGTTGTCACTTTGTATCTCCTGCATCAAAGTTTTATTATTGAAATTCAGCAGTCCCTGAATCATATACACTATACCATTGCTACATGCAATACCGTCTGATATGCTGTTAAAGTAGTATCGAAGGTTACTATATCCTACATCAATCGAATAACCTAGAAAATAAACAGAAAAACAATGAAAATGGTCTACCTAGATTAATTTTTGAAATTCAGTTGGAAGTCAATGAAAAATTAAAGTATTCTAAAATTATGAAAAATCGTACAGCATGTTTAAATGGTGCACATGAGCAATAGTCATTATAAATGATACATTCGACGATACTTTATTTTGGGGAATTATTTTTTATAATGTATTGCCTTCTTTTTTACCTTCATCAGGAATGCTCAAACCGAAAAAAAGAACGACAAGGATGTATAAGTACTTGAACTGGTAAAGAGCATTATGATAAAAGGGACATAAAAGGAATAACCAAATCCATCTATGTCAACTTTTCCTGAGGGGTTTGAAATCTAAGTCACGTCAAGTGACTATCAATTTTTACATTCCCTTTAACCAATTACATTGATAGATAACCATGTCTGTCGGTGGTATCATCAATTTTCTTTAATAAGTTATATGGTCTGATATTGGTTAAATTATCAGAAATTCAAAGTATATTATTAGAACAGTATATACATTTTGATGATAATCTATGAATAAAATATCTCAATTGGTATTTGAAATAATAGTATTGCAACGACTGTGTCCTGGAAGCATTAATTTTCATCAGATAACAACATATATATGGTAAGAAACATGTCTTAGTCAGCCTATTTCCTTTATATGTTATAAATTTCATAGTAACATTATTTTCAAAGTTTGTTTTACATTAGTGCTTAAAATAACTGATTAAACTGACTATTACAATAGACTTATTGATACAAAAAGTAGGCAACTTATTCACGCTCATTTTTTTTGTACATTACTACTTTACTACTCACCTATTGTTTGATTCATCATTGAAAATGTAATGTTGTTTTCTGTCACGTTAACAGTATTTCTAGATTTTTGTTTACTAAGATATTTCTGATCAATTTTCAATCCTGGCAGAACATGACCCAGGTATAACTGAAAAGAATAATGTGTAAAAAGGTTGTCATATTTATTGCGGGGAAATGGAATGATTGTAAATATAACGGAATTTGATGAGACTGTCGTACAAGTGAGAGGTTTAGCGCTATAAAACCAGGTTCAATCCACCATTTTCTACATTTGAAAATGCCTGTACCAAGTCAGGAATATGACAGTTGTTGTCCATTCGTTTGATGTGTTTTGTCATTTGATTTTGCCATGTGATTAGGGACTTTCCGATTGAATTTTCCTCGGAGTTCAGTATTTTTGTGATTTTACTTTTTGATGTGAAACTCAAGACACTATTTACGAGTTAAACTGGAACATAGCCAAGAATGTATATTCATTGAACAGCGCTTTATCTCCATCTAAAGAACATCTTACGATCCGCATTTCTGTCGTTGACGTCACTGTTTATTTAAGACAAAACAAATATACAATATTATAAAACATAGCATGTACAATTTGAAATTTTAAGATATATATCTATTGGGTCATTGTTATTGCATTTATAGTCAGTGGAAATGTCTGAACAAATAATTTACAAGAACATGTGGCGACTTGTAGATGATGTAATAACAACCTGTGTTAAAATTGATGGGCTTTTAGTTATATTTGCAAGTGACGAATACTCTACATGTACAATAATATGTAGCGACTTGTGAATACAATATCAATTACCTGTGTTAAAATTGATGGATTTGTAGTTATATTTGCCAGTGATGAAGGAGATGGAACAAACACAGTCATATCTTCGTCAGGTGCATCTGATAAATCTTGAAAGTCTTCATTTTCAAACAGCATATCAAAGAATGGTCTAAACAGAACAATAAATAAAAAAAATGATATTTCACCCATCTGTTCCTTGTTATTATATTAATACAACAATAACCATTTATCTTTAATTGCATGTTATTTAACAGATAATTTTTTCATTTGCCGTAGATATAATTTTGAATTTGTTTTTTTTTTAAATGGAACTTTTACAATTAATAGTTTCTTGTATAGTCGTGATATCAGCATGGTAATGAAACATCATATCAAAGAATGGACTACACACTAAAATGAAATTAAACATTAATCTGTACCTTGTTATTATATCAATTAATTATTATATCAATTAATACAATGACATCCATTTTTCTTAAATTACTTGTCATTCAAATGATCATTTTATTTCTGCTGTAGACATTGCTTTTGGTTTAAATGGAACTTTTATACAACAGATAAGTCCTTTTTTATTCGTCATATCAGCATAAATAATGACTTTCATAGAAATTTTTCGGTGACTATTGATTAATTTTTCCATTATGTATGTAAAAAGTAAAATCACAAAAATACTGAACTCCGAGGAAAATTAAAAAAAGGAAAGTCCCTAATCAAATGGCAAAATCAAAAGATCAAACATATCCTTTTTATTTGTCATAAGATTTGCACAATATTGTTCTGCTACTCCCTTTTCAAATCGATTTCTGATTTTCACATACTCTTCGAGTTTCTATTAATGAGAATGTTAACAACTTACATCAGTCTCTCATCTTTTGACATAGTTTCTGCTACCGTGAAATAAGGATAATACAGTAATCTGTCCACCATGTGAATTACACCATTAGTAGCTATAACGTTGCTTGTAGTAATCTTTGAATGCACATTGTTACTTACTAAACCCACTGAAACATAACAAATAATTGTATGTTTAACTGAATATGAGCAAAGCAAATTAAAATTTCAATTAATTCAAGGCAAAACAGGGATTGAAGTTAAAATTTTGGCATGGTAGCCCACAGCTTTAATTTTGTAGCCCACAGCTTTATTTTGTAGCCCACAGCTTTAATTTTGTAGCCCACATATATAATCCTATACAAGAAAATCAGAAATTTAAGTAACACACACCAAATTTTAGGGGCCATTGGCAAGTGGGCCCCTGCTAATTTCAAACCCTGCAAAACTAGTTTACCGATCTTCAAATGTTATCAATCGATTCAGAAGACACATCAAGGTAAAATAACAAATACCAACAAAATCGATTAATTCCAAATTGGAGGACAACAGATGCGTCGACAGGGTAAGCGTTTGATGATATGGTTGCATCACCCGCAATCCAAATCCACACTCTCCGTTTAAATGTTACAATAGGGAATTAAACACAATCGGTAAAATTACAAATAAGACTACTAGATTGGTATCTATAGATTTGAGACTATGAAAATTAGGTCGCTAGAGTGTTGAAACATTGCCATATTGTATCAGTCAACCATGTCGTGATAGTGACCATCAAATATATAAAATGTGAATATCAGTCGTTCTTCTTTTTCCTGTTGCGGCACTTTTCGCGTAAGGATCACACCTCTCGCAATTAGTAGAGTCTGTAATATTGCACAGATGCTTCCACAACGGTAGATGACTTATCCTGGTACCTTGTATGTTTGAAATATTTGTGCCCGTAAATCAACAGTTAATGAACTATGAATCATATGACGATTATTCAATTTTTAATATCTAGATTCGATCTTTTCAGTAAGAACTGAAAACAAACGTCATGTTATTACTGTGCATTTAACATCATTCATAATTTTAAGGGATTATCTAGCACATATGCTGTCCATCTAAAATAGCTCTGTATACCCTTCCATAAGTTGAACAATTGAATCAACTCTAGACTTTTTAAACAAATAAGAAATCCTTGACCATTTGCTTCCTGATTCTTTTAATAAGTGTTATGTTTTACTTCAGGAATGTATATTAGAGTAGTTTGGGAAATATATGTGGAGCAGGATCTGCTTACCCTTCCGGAGCACCTGAGATCCCCCCAGTTTGTGGTGGGGTTCGTGTTCTCAGTCTTTAGTTTTCTATGTTGTGTTTTGTGTACTATTGTTTGTCTGTTTGTCTTTTTCTTTTTAGCCATGGCGTTGTCAGTTTATTTTCGCATTATGAGTTTGAATTTCCCCCTGGTATCTTTCGCCTCTCTTTTACCAATTATAAACATCTTTCTTGTTTATTTTTATCATAAACATAATCGAATTATATCCTGTTTGACACTTGTTTATTTATTCAAAAAATGACCACCATCATACATTTCAATATTAGGAAGTACACCACTAATTCATGGCCCCATTGCTTTCTATGTTAAATTCCTCAATTTCAAGCAGACACAGCTCTTTTGTTTCAAGTTCAAATAAAGTGACAATCATTGCATGTCAAAGCAACACTTTATGGTGTCTTGTACTGGAAAAATCAACATACCTTTAATGGCATATAAGAAAGAACTGGTTCCCGGAACTTCGGATGTACCAAAACAGGTACTTCAGATCTGACATACAGGCAAAAAGTACCCTCTTTATAAAATTTGGTGCAGTTTTTTTAATATTCAAAATTATAAGTCAAAAAGTGTTCTTCAATGATCACCAGTCATTCAGCTTTCATTTGATACCAACAATACCAAAATATTCTACATATTTTGAAAGTTACACTCATGCGTAGGAACTATTTTGTGTTAAATATGTACTACTTTCTGGTATGTGCTTTCTGGCCGGGCCGAATTAGTGGTGTTACACCTATAACAGAACCAAACTTGCTATACTGACTTCTGCATCACTTTATTTCATTCTATGATCTATTTCAAGCAATAAAAAACACATAAAGCTTAAGTCCAAATACTATTTTACTAATTTTAAGCTCAAATTGGACTGGTAGTAACATATAGGTTATTCAAAGAAAACTGCATATGGATATTATAAATGGCCAATATACTTATTTTATTCTCAATATCATTGTTGTATTTAATAATTTCTGTTGGGAAAACAATGTGCTTACCAATAGTCATATTTCACCAGAGTTTGTTCATTTAATAAAAATATATTAGACCAAACCTAAGACATAATTGAGAAAATTGTCCCCCCTTTTTTTCTTCAAATTGGAAAAGGGACATTTTTGGTATAAACCATACTTCTGTGGTACAACATAGATTATAAAGAGCAATTTATATATTTTTCAGCTGGATAACTTGCTAAACTGGTTCAAAATTGCATGTACAGTGAGATTTTGGAATTCTTATATGAGTATATACCAATTGCCTAGATTGTAAAAGGCTATCATAAGAAAACCAATAAAACTTGAAAAATCATAGGATTATTTGACCAAGAGCTATTTTTTTGCCATAAAGAAGTCATTATATACATGTTTTATTGATTGCAATCCCAAATAATGCTAAAATAAGAATTTGGAGTCAAGTCTTAACTGCATGCATGTTGTGTGACCATAAAAGGCTAAAATACCTGATTATGTCAATTTAAGAGCTGAAATTTCCCATAAACAGAATTGTTCATCCAAAAAAGATGATTAAACATGTTTACTTACATCAAATATGACTTATTTTCATTGGAATAGGTACAACTTCTAAAAATTGAATTTTTGATGATTCTCTGTAATAGGAAGTACACCACTAATTCATGGCCCCATTGCTTTCTATGTTAAATTCCTCAATTTCAAGCAGACACAGCTCTTTTGTTTCAAGTTCAAATAAAGTGACAATCATTGCATGTCAAAGCAACACTTTATGGTGTCTTGTACTGGAAAAATCAACATACCTTTAATGGCATATAAGAAAGAACTGGTTCCCGGAACTTCGGATGTACCAAAACAGGTACTTCAGATCTGACATACAGGCAAAAAGTACCCTCTTTATAAAATTTGGTGCAGTTTTTTTAATATTCAAAATTATAAGTCAAAAAGTGTTCTTCAATGATCACCAGTCATTCAGCTTTCATTTGATACCAACAATACCAAAATATTCTACATATTTTGAAAGTTACACTCATGCGTAGGAACTATTTTGTGTTAAATATGTACTACTTTCTGGTATGTGCTTTCTGGCCGGGCCGAATTAGTGGTGTTACACCATTAATATGGATTCGAACTTAAATATTTATTTATATGTTTGAAATACAAATTAGTATTAGTAAAACTACATGTATTTATTTTCACTATATAGATATAAGAAGATGTGGTATGAGTGCCAATGATACAACTCTCCATCCAAGTCACAATTTGTAAAAGTAAACCATTATAGGTCAAAGTACGGCCTCCAACACGGAGCATTGGTTCACACCGAAAAGCAAGCTATAAAGGGCCCCAAAAATGACTAGTGTAAAACCATTCAAACGGGAAAACCAACGGTCTTATCTATATAAAAAACGAGAAACAAGAAACACTTATGAACCACATCAACAAACGGCAAATACTGAACATAGGTATAAAAAGATGTGGTATGAGTGCCAACGAGACAACTCTCCATCCAAGTCAAAATTTATGAAAGTAAACCATTATAGGTCAAAGTACGGTCTTCAACACGGAGCCTTGGCTCCCACCGAACAGTAAGCTATAAAGGGCCCCAAAAATTACTAGTGTAAAACCATTCAAACGGGAAAACCAACGGTCTAATCTATATAAAAAACGAGAAACGAGAAACACTTATGAACCACATCAACAAACGACAACTACTGAACATCAGATTCCTGACTTAGGACAGGTGCAAACAAATGCAGTGGGTTTAAACGTTTTAATGGTAACAAACCTTCACCCTTTTTCTGAAACAATAGTGTAACATCACAACATAGAAAGACGCACTATAAAATATCAACTGAATACCTGTATTATTAGCCTTTCTAATATAAATTGTGTCTTCCACAGATATAAGGTTTTGTTCAGCATATAATTGTTCTACTAAATGACTCCCTGATGTTACAACATGGGCTTGGAGAATCTACAAAAGTAAGGTACTATACAAATGCTATGGCTAAAGTATAAATCTAAATATCGAACACAAATTAAAAGTACTTCTTTAAATAAAAAAAAACGTTACCCTTCGTTTCTTTTTATTTGGGCCTAATTTTTTTTTGACAGTATAGATACTTTTCAATTGAAATCGGAATTATAGCCCTTTGGAAATCATGTCGTGCAAACTGGTTTATTTTCCTCATGTAATAACCAAGTTCGAACATGTGGAATAAACAAGTATAATACAAGATCTTTACTAGATCGTAGAGACGAGTTGAAAAGGTTTAAAGAAATAAAGGTAGTTTTAAAAGCCTTTTTCTAAAGATTATCAGTTAATGTTAAAACTTTTAATTGGTAAATAATAAAGGGATTATGTAACTTACCCTACAATAAGGGAATAAGGGGGGGGGGGGGGCAAAGGGAAATATCTCTATCAAGAATTGCACAAGAGTCAATCGAACACTTAATAACTTATGACTATTTTTACTCTACAGATTTACTTTTGAAAAGTGTGTTAAGACTGCTTATATTGGGTTTTGAACGTACTGGTGTCATTTATTATATGTATAAACATATGATCACCGTTTACGACGGTTAACAATTAACAGTGTGATAAAATAGGATTACAATGACGTATTTTTAGTTTATATCTTACCCGTTCTAAAAGAAGACTATCCATGAGTATTTTATCAGCTCGAGATCTAGGTATGTCGTTGAAAGCCTCATTGACGGGAACAAATATGGTAATATCTTCATCTTTATCAGAGAGGAGATTTTGTAGCATTTGCATCGTGTACAGGCCAATAAATGAAGATACAACACTGCAATGATATATAAATTATGAAAAAAAAAACATTCATTTAACTTCATCAGCGTGGCCGTTATTATGTGAATATATGTACGTCCATTTTTGCTTAACTAGTACACATGTTTGTTTGGAGGACAGCTGCGGCATTTTCTCGCTGTGTTGAAGACCCATTGATGGCCTTGGGCTGTTTTCTGCTCTTTTTGTTGTCTCTTTGACACATTCCCCGTTTCCATTCTCAATTTTATTACACGTTCAATTTTTCAAGTTTGCGTGTAGCTTTGTTCAAGGGAAAAGCAACACTTTGTTTCAGATTTAAGTCTATTCTAGATGAAACGAGCGTCAGGCGTAACACCTGGTATATTTTATAACCTTTTTTAGGAATGAATTTGTAAAGATTGAAAATGACTATCTGTATTGCCCTTGTAATGAAAAAAATGTCAATAGATAAGTCTGATCCATATTCAAGAGATTAAAAAAGGGGACAGACATAGTTGAAGGGAAATAACTTTATATATCACTGTTACGCTTATGTTAAGTTGTCAGCCATTTAAAGTTGTCGGCACAGTAGTCAGCACTTATGTTTAGACATGAATTATCATTGATATGGTCATAACTGTTTACAAAACTTTTAATTTTTTCTACCTCAGGAAAAGATTACCTCAGCTGTATTTGGCAATGTTTTAGGAATTTTGTGTCGTCAATGCTCTTCAACTTCGTGCTTTGTTTTGCCTTTTAAACTTTTTTGATGAGAGCGTCACTGATGAGTCTTTAGTAGACGAAACGCGCGTCGTGTGTACAAATTTTTAATCCTGGTATCCATGATGAGTTTTTTTTACATGAAGTGGGTTAATACTTTACGGGAAACATATTGGACTTATCTGATATTCTTATAATATGTTTTTGTAATTGCAATAAGTTTTACTACGGATGCGTTCTGCAAAAAATACAATGTTCTGGGATAAATTTTAAAATTGATTATTGTTTTACCTAATTTCTTTATGTCTTTTCATTTCATCTAAAACATTCCTTGTTGCCACATGCATTAAGTTGTCAATTATGTGAATAACACCATTAGAACATAATATATCTCTAACAATAACTCCAGCTTTAATGTAACTTCCAGTCACAGATATCTCTGAAACATTCATGATATATAGTTTTTAAACTTTTATCTATCTGAACCGTTCTAAATGATATTTCAACGCATTCTAATGTTTTCTTAACAGTTCAACTTTTTCATTGTTGTCTAATTCAGTTTTAATGTTATATCAACCGCGGCGTTCTACATTATATTAAATTCGTTCTCATTGTAAATTTTACCGTTTTACGTTCTATTTCAGAGCATTTTAAATTTTATTTTAACACATCTCGTACAATGTCTCAAAAATATCTCTAGGGTTCCACAAATTCTAATCTTATTTTAATGGGTTTTTTTAATATTACGAATATTTTTTATGTTACATTTTCGGTATTCGAAATATCGTTAGCGCTTATGACACATCAATTTTAATGTGTTTTTTTTTTTTCGTTAACAGAAACGCAATTGTTGGATTCTTCTTTGTTTTTTGGCACAACGCGTTATAATTGGAGTTGATCCTTATTATAGTACGTCGGAACGTACATTAAATAACTCTGCATTTATAAATATTCTTATTAAGATGTATATAAAGATAAGTCTTTCAGTTTCGTATATTTTATATTTACCCTCCTTAGAGAACACTGTAGTCAGTTGGTGTCCTCCATATGTATTAAATGTTTCCTTGCTACTCATGTTAAATGTAGTTAACGTATGACCAAGTATGATGTGTCCACTCAAGGCCTTCAATTGGAAACAAAGAATATGTCTACCACAGAAATGATTCAAACACTATTATATGTATTGAGTAATGGAAAACGTGTTGCTTCAATGTGTAATAAAACATAGACTTGGTAGGTGTGTTTAGCTTTTAAGTAAAGCAAATTATTAAGTGTTGATTAACTGGCAAGATCAAATCAATAGATTCAAACACTTTAAGGTAAGAATATGCTACATGCATGGAATGAAATTGTTGGTAATTATCAATGACAAATTTAACCTAGAAATCTCCAAATAATCATCTACAGATCTACAGAAGATCGATCGCAAACAATTGGAAATTTATCACATATCACTAGTAAACCAATTCTGATCTAAATTAATAATTTTGATCTACACAGCTCTTGAAGGGCTGAACATTAATTCATTATGTAATCTTCAGTCTTTCACTCAATTTCCAAACTTATCTTCTGCGGTTAATTCAGTACTGTCCAGACTATTCAGTTGCAGCCATTTAAAATCCATTCAGGGAATGTTCAGACTGTTCAAAAATTGGTATTCACCTCTTCACCTCAACAGCATACTGAATTGCCTGCAAAGCTACAGAGTAGTACTGAATTGACTGCAAGCAAATTGTTTGAACAGTATAGTATTTACCGCAGTAGAAATTTTTGAAATTTGACTGAAAGACTAAACACGACTAAATAAGTTTATTGTTCAGACTTTTCAGATGATGTTAAGATCATCATGACCGTTTAAGACTAGAATTCATTTTAACTAGTGTATTATTATTAACTTTCCAGACATTTTTATTCCGATTCCGAGCCGACTAGTTAGCGTAGATTCTGCAAGTATCATTTGTATAAGTGGTAAGAGATCGAACCAGTAGTCTCCGTCACTCATGGCGGGGACAATAGCATGCCATATGACGAGCAGCAAGCATTTTCAAGTTATGGTGTGTGTTTGTTTTATAGTTGATAGACTGACAGAAAATAATACCTTACATACTGTGCACTTGTTCTTCATATCATAGTTTAATGTAATTGTATGTATGTATAAATAATCTATTCAGTTCGGATTAAAATGACAGGTAACGCATACCACGTAGATAGAGACCCTTATCCTATCGATAAACTCCTTTTTGGAGTCAAATGTTCCCTCAGTTTTTTTGTTAGTTTTCACCTTAACTTGTATTTTTTTAATGGATTAATGAGATGTGAAGGTGATAAACTACTTTTGCCTCTAACTGATATGTTATAAAAGTATGTCTTACGTCATACAAAAGATCCGGATTTGTAGAAAAGCTACTTAGTGTAGATCCTGGAATATCATCCATGACGTAATCAAATGGTAAAAATACTGTAACATGCACACCACCGTTGTTCAATAACGATGGTAAATCGTTATAATTCTGCATAAAACTTTTCATTTTTCTGAAATAATATTGTAGATATAACAATTATAAGTTCTGTACAAATCACGTACTTAACCACACAAATTTAATCCAGTGGCAAATATCACTCGCATTTCTAGACGAGAGCATATCAATGCGATAAAGAATATGAATACTATGTCCTAGAACGAAACGCTAATATGGATTTTAAATGACCTACTCCACACAGTAATAGTCTACAGGAAGACATGTCGCAATACCCATCACGTTATTCTGACTCCAAGCCGACCAGGCTTTGCTCTGACTCCCAAAAGAAACTTGCTTTGCAAAGAGGCAGCATATATACTAATTCTTCAAAACATAAGCTTGACCAAAGCAATGGAGTATGCTACCACCAGACAACCGATGTGGTTATCAGTAATATAGAATGCATGTACTTTCTACATGGCTTAAGTGTTTGTCTAATGCTGACAATATATACAAAACTCTAAATCAATAGTTTGGATACACTTTTGTCATTATTGTTCTTTCTTAACGACATTTACTCCAAACCATCATTTAAACAATTTCAGGAGACATTGAATTTTATGAAGTATTGTTTTATCTATTTAACATATTTTTTAATATATCTTGACGTTCAGTCGTTGATATCATCATAAAATAAGTACTTGGAAGGTATTCTTTTTATTTGTCCTTGCACATTTTTAACCTTCACTGTTTAGTCCATTTTTGGTAATATACTTATGACGTGGCTAGGTATTTATACATCCCGCCATTGTGTTATTGTGCTATGGTCGTTTTTATATTCTTGTCTTTCATTTTTGCTCATGAACTTTGTCTATAAAAGTATATATGCCATTTTGTTTTTTCTTTGTTGAAATAGTTATTTGTTTTATAGTGATTTATTTTGTAACACAATGTTGACTGCTGTACCCAATTTTTGACATTTTACCTATTATGTCTGTTTGCTTTGACAACAACGTTGAGGTCCAAAGTGTCCAAAATTAAACTTCGATTTCATCAAAAATTAAATTCTTGAAGTTTTAAAGGTACTCGCAGATCGATATTTCCTAACATGAATACGCTTTTTCATCATGTTCATACAAAATAAATATCATAAATTTTGATTACATTCCTAACGGTACAATGTTTGGTCAGGTTGTAGCTTAAATTTACCGATCATGTTCGGTCAGGTAAAACGTATTAAGTAATAAAATCTTACATCAACTGATCATTGCCTGTAATTGCTTCCCACACGGTATAATCTTTCCTGAGTATAACATTATCTATTAAGTGGACAATACCATTTGTACAACCAATGTCTGTTTCCTCAACCTCTATCTGCATATCTTCGGATTCCAAATAAAATGTTTGATCTTTTCTTATAACTGTGATAGTCTTGTTTGACAGCGTTGTGAATGTTTGTCCGTCAACTAATGATCCTTCGTCTACTTCTGAACTCAGAATATGATTGTTCAAAATCTGTAAATATATAGTTTTTTGTTTTGTTTTTATTAGTAACATGTGTAAAAATTAAAACAAAAATTCATAAATTTCCTGAATCTAAACCACTTTTCTGGATTTACCGTCATCAGAAACGCTTATCGTATACAGTGTCTACACATGCTGCATTTAAATCTATTATGATCGCTTTAGATTTAAGTTGCAACACGACGGGTGGGACATGTGGAGCAGGAACTGGTTACCCTTCCGGAAAACCTAAGATCAATGATGGAGTTCATATTGCTCAGTCTTTATATTTTATGTTTTGTTTTGTAGACTGTCGTTTGTCTTTTTCTCGTTTTTCGTTTTGGTCATAATATTTTCAGTTTAAGTTAAAATGTATCATTGATATCTTCTGCCTCTAAATTGCACTTAAGATTTCATTTTTACAACGAATATTTCACTGGTATATTCAGCCTCCCTTTACAATGTTAAAACTTTCAAATGTAACTCCTAGATCTTGAAAGATACATAACTGTTAGCCTATGATAGGAAGGTGATAACAGTATAGTCTATGTATCATTCATCCACAATTTTTATCTGGAGCGTACCGGGTAAATGTTTTTAAATAAACTTGCTGTACGCATTGAGATCGGTATCAAATATTAATATTTTTATAGTCACATGATATCAATTGGTTGATATTGATATATCGTTGCTTTTTAATGCCACTTTAATCACTACTGGGTAATTAGTTTTTATTGATGAAGGAAGCCGGTGTGCCCGTAGAGAACCATCGACCTTCGACATGAAAACTGACAATCCTAGTTATTTAAAACAGAGTGGAACGCACCTGTTACTTAGACCACTCGGTCACTTAGGCCACACGTGATATTAACAGCGAAGTTATAAGTGAATAGCGATAATAATTTACCTGAGACAAATAGGTAATGTCATTAGTAAACTGTTGTTGTTTATTTGATGGTAGTTTAGCAAACGCTGTATCAGTTGGTACAAATACTGTCTTTGTTCCGTTTAGACTTCCAAGATACGACCTGACTTCTGATTGTCTTTCTAAATATAATTTAAAAGTTCTGAAAAGTAGAAAGTGTTTCTTGAAATATCATTGAAATGAACGCTGCAGACGAAAAGATAAAAAACAAAATATATGCGAAACAAAAAATGATTGTAACAGGATGCTGTTACGAAGTCTCCCAAACGAAGCTCCCATAATTCGTAATTCCCAGGGTCGCCTGACATTGGGCAACGTCCAGTGAAAATTGGTTTGGTCCAGTAAAGTTATATGCATTAGTGATGCCTGGGGACTAACCTTGTATATCATTCAAATCATCTTGGCATGACAAACCAGAATATATATGGTTTAGGGGTGGGGATCTCGACCATTTACAAGATACTAGAACATTGGGGGTGGGGAGGAACCCCTGGGGACTGGCCCTATACGTCATTCAAATGTTCATTATATGACGAACAGGAATATATATGGTTTAGGGACGGGGATCTCAACCATTTACAAGATATTAGAACATTGGGGGTGGGGGGAACCCCTGGGGACTGACCGTATACGTCATTCAAATGTTCGAGACATGACAAATAGGAATATATATGGTTTAGGGGTGGGGATCTCAACCATTTACAAGATATTAGAACTTTCTCAAATGGCAGGGGGTCGGGATGACCCCTGGGGACTAACCCTGTATATCATTCAAACCATTTTCGCATGACAAACCAGAATATATATGGTTTAGGGGTGGGGATCTTGACCACTTACAAGATATTAGAACTTTCTTAAATGGCAGGGGGTGGGGGTGACCCCTGGGGACTAACCCTGTATTTCATTTGATGTGCTTTATCATGACAAACCAGAATATAGATGGTTTAGGGGTGGGGATCTCGACCATTTACAAGATATTAGAACTTTCTCAAATGGCAGGGGGTCGGGATGACCCCTGGGGACTAACCCTGTATATCAATCAAACCATCTTAGCATGACAAACCAGAATATATATGGTTTAGGGGTGGGGATCTTGACCACTTACAAGATATTAGAACTTTCTTAAATGGCAGGGGGTGGGGTGACCCCTGGGGACTAACCCTGTATTTCATTTGATGTGCTTTATCATGACAAACCAGAATATATATGGTTTAGGGGTGGGGATCTCGACCATTTACATGATATTAGAACTTTCTCAAATGGCAGGGGGTCGGGATGACCCCTTGGGACTAACCCTGTATATCATTCAAACCATCTTAGCATGACAAACCAGAATATATATGGTTTAGGGGTGGGGATCTTGACCACTTAGAAGATATTAGAACTTTCTTAAATGGCAGGGGGTGGGGGTGACCCCTGGGGACTAACCCTGTATTACATTTGATGTGCTTTATCATGACAAACCAGAATATATATGGTTTAGGGGTGGGGATCTCGACCATTTACAAGATATTAGAACTTTCTCAAATGGCAGGGGGTCGGGATGACCCCTGGGGACTAACCCTGTATATCATTCAAACCATCTTAGCATGACAAACCAAAATATATATGGTTTAGGGGTGGGGATCTTGACCACTTACAAGGTATTAGAACTTTCTTAAATGGCAGGGGGTGGGGTGACCCCTGGGGACTAACCCTGTATTTCATTTAATGGGCTTTATCATTTAGAACATTTTCAATTAAAAAGATTGTGTCTATCACAAACGGTTTTCAATTTATAATCATTTGAAAATTTAAAAAAATAAAATCCCATAGGGTTCTATAGTAAAACCCTCTTTTCTTTTTGCCCCTCAAAGTACCCCTTTATAAACCCCATTGCACAAACAAAACCCTTATTGCACCACTAGACATGTTAGTCTTACATATTGTGAAACCCTAAGTTAATCTGACAAGCGGTTTTGGAGAACGGGTGCGGACAAGTTCAAATTTAAAAGCGGCGGGAGAAGAAGAAGAAGAAGAAGAATAATAATAATAAGAACTGAGCAAAAACAATAAGTCTTCCCAAACTTCGTTTGGGAGACTTAATTAAAGAGCGTAATAGCTACAAATGGGCTACAAATCGCACTTAAAGTATTCATGGTCAATTTTGCCTGAACAAGATCAGGTAGAAACCATAGCTCTAACCCTTTCTTAAAAATACAATGATGAAAGATGAAGGAAAAAAATAACAATACGGCATTTCGAACTTTATCTAACAATGATGCTATTACAGGTTTCCAGACTTTGACGATGGATGCCACATGTGGAGCAGGTTCTCATACCCTTCCGCAGAACTTGATACCACCCTCGGTTTTTGGTGAGGTTCGTGTTGCTCCGTCTTTAGTTTTCTATGTTGTGTTTTGTATACTGTTGTTTGTCTGTTTCTTTTTGCCATGGCATTGTCAGTTCGTTTTCGACTTATGAGTTTGACTATCCCTCTGATATCTTTCGCCTCTCTTTTTGACACGTTTTGTTTTTACAGTGTCGGTTTCTAATACTCTACCACTTAGTAATTAATTGTACATTCCAACTGGTAATATATGAGGGTGTGGATGAGGGTTTACAGAGTAGATGATAATGGTCAGAAAATATAAATAAAAGAGAAAAATGAAACAAACAAATAAAGAATAGAGAATAATGAGGTGCTAAAATATAAAGAATAGAGAATAATGGACAAAAGTATACAGAATAGAGATAAATGGCCTAAAAAATTAAAGAATATAGAAAAGAAGGACCCCTATCAATACCCTCGTATATGTATCTTTGATTGAATTTTTTGTATGAGGGTCTTGATAAGGGGTCCTTCATTTCTGTATTCTTTAATTATTTAGGTCATTTTTCTGTCTTCTTTTTATTTTTTTTGTCCCGTATTCTCTGTTCATTATATTTTAGCACCCCATTATTCTTAATTCTTTATTTTTGTGCCCTTTTTTTGCCATTTATTCTGCTTGCACATTTTGTCTATTATTCTCTATTCTGTAAACCCCATCTAGACCCTCTTGTAAAGGGTATAAAATATTACTTACTGAGTATTAGGCAATTTTTGTATTGTCTGTACAATGTTCATATAGATAAAGTACAGTAGATTGTCTATGACATGGATTATACCATTCACAGTAGGTACATTAGCTTGAATTACTAAAGCTTTTACTCTATTACTCTTCACATAAACTGAAAAAGAGAACATGTCGATTACGTGTGACGTGTCAGAAGCAAACGAAAACAATCCTGCATCTTTTGGCTGCTCAAGAATGTTATACTAGAAAGAGTAAATTAATATCTGTGTAGCCGCGGACTTCCATTTTGCGCGTTTTAAACAATAAAAGAATGAGCGTCTTTTACGTATAAATTTATTGACACTGATCTTATTTCGAACGCGACATTATGAAAAACAAGTGTCGTTTTATTTAATCTATCTTTAATTTTTTTTATATATATATATATATTTTGTTTAGTGTTACTAAACGACGTACTTAAATATAATTTTTCCTATTTGTACAAATTTCAGTGTCGAATTATACATGTATTATTATACTTAGTCCGGTGATTATCAAACCTATCTAATCTAATACTACATTATGTAATATTATATAGCTAGTTGGGTGAACAACAAAATGTTTTTCGAGATAAAATCGTTTGATATACTTATAATAAAGTAGAATATTTTGTATGCTCATCCTAAACGCATGAAAAACTTCTAAAACAGTTAAATTCAATATACATTTGCAGAACAAAATACGAGTGTTAAATAAATGTACCTGAAAATAACACAGACCACAATTACATTAGTGTTTTGTTCTTGTTTGGTTATCAAATTTATCAAAGGAATGATATAATTTCAGTTCTCAAAACATATATAATTCTTGAAAACCCTTCATATGGTACAAGTAAACTTAAAACCAGAAGTGTGGAACGAAAAAGAAATGTTAAAAAGCATAATTTTAATTCTGACATCATGATTATGAAAAACCATGACTTTTCGATAAACAGGAAGATCGTAACACCGCAAATAAATGGAACTTCACCAGTATGTAAATATGTAAGACAGAAGGAACTTACCAGACAAATCTGCAAAAGAGAGGCGAATGATGCCAAAGATATATTTAAACTCGTAAGTCAAAAATAAACTCACATCGCTATGGCAAGAAAAAAAGCAAAAAGACCAAAACACAAAAAGCCTGAGCAACACGAACCCCAACTGTCGATATATAAAAATATGGCCTATAAAGAACCAGTATTAGACTTATTTTTCTTTTAAAGATTATACACGTCTCCTTTCAAACGATTAGAAGAATATGTTTACGTACTATATATCATATATAAACATTAAATATCCTTACCTCTATTATTCTCCCTGTAGAAGGTAATATCACCCTGCATAGAGGTCAGTTTTGGAATATCACCCTTAGACGGTATGAAGGAAAATGTATCTAGGACTGTGTGTGCATGGTATACCTAACGATATTAAAAAAAGGAGATTACATTTCAATAGTCATTTAAGGTGGTACCTAACACTACAGGGAGATAACTCTGTAAAAATCAGCTAAACGTTTTAATTACGTTGTATTGTTAATGAAATCTTAAGCTTCTCAATGATCAAAATTAGTGTTTGTCAAACTGCTATATAACCAAAGAAATTTTTCTGATAAAGTGGTTGGTTCAAATTTTTTGAAATTTTTATATTTTTGTCAAAGGGTCAAAGTAAACATTTTGTAAAAATTTTATGAAAATTAAACGAGCCAAATTAATTTTAGTCAAGGTGTTGGGTACCACCTTAATATGATTTTTTTCCATGTTTTTTCAATTAACGTAACACGTGTGTAACATAAAAAATATATAAAATAAGCCCAATGTTTGTTATATGTCTGTCTTGTTTTACTAACGTCATTCTGTAGGGCTGTTCAATATAGTTTTTGTAAAAATTCTTCGACTGTTTTATAAATTGTTTCATTTCGGGGCCTTTTATAGCTGACTATACGGTATGGGCTTTGCTACTTTGTTGAAGGCCGTACGGTAACCTTTAGTAGTTAATTTCTGTGTCATTTGTTCTCTTGTGAAGAGTTGTCTTATTTGCAATCATACCACATCTTCTTTTTTATAATTACCCTTAATAAATCATGATTTTACGAAATGGCAAGAAAATATAATACACCACTCCTTCCTTTCGGGGCCTTTTACAGCTGACTATGCGGTATGGGTTCACTCATTGTTAAAGGCCGTATGGTACCCTATAATTGTAAATTTCTGTGTCTTTTGGTCTCTTGTGGAGAGTTGTCTCATTGGAAATCTTACCACATCTTCTTATTTTTATATCTTAAATATAACTGACAAGTTATGCCTTTCGGAGCATCTTTCCATGTTTTTCAGTTGGATTCGAGTTTTTGAATCATTAGTATTAGAGTAATGTTTTATTGACATTTGTCTTAAGGACAAGTCACTCTCTCTCGCTTGGCTGCAGCATCTCAATCTGTTTTTGTGTGCTCATTATGGTGTATGAACAATTTAACTATTTACAATACTTTAATACAATAGATTATGAAATGGCAAATCGTGGACATAAAACTATCTGTTTTACCTTTCTAATTAGGTACCAGTCTTTGAATAATCTGTCCTGTCCGTAGCTTGGCATAGAGACTAAATGGCCATCATTTGGTAAGAATACTGTAAACTTCCGGTTTGTCTCTGTAGTCCATTGTCGTAAATCCAAGTCCACTATGGATGCATTATTTATAGATCTATAAATAGATATAAGAAGATGAGTGCTAATGAAACAACTCTCCACCCAACATGTCCAATAGATATAAGAATATGTGGTATGGGTGCCAATGAGACAACTCTCCATCCAATAGATATAAGAAGATGTGGTATGGGTGCCAATGAGACAACTCTCCATCCAAGTCAAAATTTATAAAAGTGAACCAATATAGGTCAAAGTACGGTCTTCAACACGGAGCCTTGTCTCACACCGAACTGCAAGCTATAAAGGGCCCCAAAAATTACTAGTGTAAAACCATTCAATACATGTATATAAAAATAAGGAGATGTGGTATGATTGCCAATGAGACAATTATCCACCAATGTTAAAATGAAGTGGATGTAAGCAATTATAGGCAACCGTACGGCCTTCCAAAATAAAAAAAAAACCAATACCGTATAGTCGGCTATAAAAGGCCCCGACATGAAAAATATAAAACAATTCAATTGAGACAACTAACGGCCTAATTTATAACAAAACAATTTGCGAAAAAAAAAGAAGACAGACATGAATCAACGACAACCACTGAACTACAGGCTCCTGACTTTGGACAGGCACATAGAGAATCAATTTCAAATGATGGCGATGTGAGGAAAAAGTCAACGAGAACAACAAACGGTCAACTCACGTTTTCCAGTGTTACGTTTTTACCATACATTGTATATCCCGTTGGGTGCATATTGCATATGGTATAAAAAATTGTCAGTTTAAAAACAACATAGCAAGACTGAATTCTTGCTTATTCGTTCTACTGTTTTAAATAAATTTATAAAATTGAGACAAAAAAGGATATAACACTGAAGCCAGGTTTTTGACTTGGAACTTCTGCATTTCTATAAGAGTACATTGTATATTAAAATAAATAGAAAAACAAAATATTTTGGGAAATGATTGATACATGTAACCATTCAATCAATTTTTACGTATATGACACAATTGTTCTATGGTAGAAAATGATATCTGTTCTCCGTATTTCGTTGAACCGTTTTATACAATGAGTTGTTGGGTACCTGTCAAAAGTCTTGCAATATTATATCCCTTAAAATGAAAAAAGTCATAAAGGATGCTGTACGGAGAAATGATTAATGTAATATATGATGACTACCGATATTTGCCCTCAACTCGAAACACCTTAAAGACTAAGATAATGTAATAAAAAGCCCTGCGCGAAATGTGGAACATTAGAGAAATAAGAAATTAGTACACAACTAATATTGGATGCTAGTGCCTTGCTCTGTAACTGTCAATGTAAATGTGGATGTACACACTTTCTTCATCTTGTAGAATACATCAGTAGAAAACTCTGCTTTGCTCTGCACATTAGACGTAATACGATATTATTAACATTACCGGTGAATAAAAAGAAAGGGTTGCATGCAACCACTCAGCCAAGGCGTGAATATTTAAAGTCTAAATTATCTTTTGTTTTAGATTTTAAAAGCGTAATAAACGTTTTAGTGGGTGTTAAATATACCATTTATTTTACTCTGAAACCAGAGGTGTGCCTTTGAAAGGCAGGATCTTCACACAAGACAAGACAAGACAAGACTAGACAAGACAATAGCCTGTTCAGTATTCAGCTTGACAAAAACTGTAAGATACTAACAGAGAACATCACTAGCAAGTCCATTATTGACAAAAGTGAGAAAAAAAAATGTATTTGGAAATAAATTGTGAATCATTTTCATTAAAGTGACACTCCTCGTCCAATATTCCATATTGTCAAATATAGTCTTCAGTAAACTAACCGTTATCTATTTTAATATACTAAATGTATTTGTTGGCGCCATAGGAGTCATGGTCCTGATAAAAATGAACATTATCATATTAGATATATCTATAGTTTCTGTCTCCATTGATTAATCTTCTTCATTCAGTATAGCGATTTTCTATTTCGGGCATTGCTATATACACAGGGTTTTGAAAAATAAGCTTTTCAGTATATAAAGTTATTTTCAGTTCGGGACAGGAAAATGAGGATACACTTAGTTCTTTAGATTCTAAAACGGCGAATTACGCACAAAAGAGCTAATCTCTTTAAATATTACCATTAAAACAAGGGATAAAAGAGTGCAATCGTGTATGTCAGTCTTCATTCACAAACTATACCTTCAAACGAAAAGACGAATTTACACTTTTATGTATTTAGCTAAATTTACTCTGAATTACCCTAGGTCTGATTCCGAATAACTTTATGGCGTCATGAAACAATCATTACTTTTAATCATGACGCAAAATTTTGCCGGAACTTATTTGACAACTGTAAATACTCCATACTTTCAATCGAATTTTTAAACGCGTTGTAGATTAAAAACAAAATGGATGAACTTCAAATAAAAGATAATAGACTTACGAAAATGAATAACTTGGTATCTCAGGGTATAAAATGTAGTCGTGTACTGTTTTGGCACTTGTGATTGGGGCCATAACTCTGTCAATGATATGCAAAACACCATTACTTGCCGTGATATTAGAAGTTATCAAAACTGCGCCATTCACAGTGAAAATCTGAAAGAAATAAAGCTTGAATATTGAATACATTACTGGGTTCGTACATTTGCTTAACAATATCGTCATTTAATGTTAAACCTTGTACTGTAGATAACAACAACAATAAAAAACGAATCAAGGAATATATGTTTATCTATCAAATGGCTGAGAAGAAGAAGGACAAAGACACACCTTAAATTACCCGAACCGTATTGTCTATGATCGGCAAAAATGAAATTGTCATTTTCAAATGTCAATGTAATCTGAAAATTGATATATATGTTATTTGGTATTATTTCCAAAGTTACCGGAAACAACCGAAGTTTTCCGAAGTCACGACGTTGATTTTATGATAACATCCTTGTCGTTTTATTGGTCACGGGGTCAATGTTGATATGCATGCCGTGTGAAGTCAAGGCAAACCAGTAGAAATTTTCAGCGTTCGAAGTTTGTTTATTGATTTATCACTCAATTGGACAATTGGAGAGCAAACAGAGAGCCTAAATGCTAGAGTGTAGGTCAACTTTGCATAAGAAGCTCTGACTTTATCGGTAATAATTTAGATAGTCTAGACCTGCTTAATTGTTAACGATCATTCATTTGATTATCATATTTAGTTATATCCGATTACTATATAAAAAAAGAAGAAGTGCAATTGTCAACAGCATATCTGACTTATTACTAACTTGGTCACGTTCTGCATAAATTGAAAATATTAATTGTTTGTTTTTATCACTTATTTGTTATGAAACAAACCAGATAAGACACGTTCCTAAATATGCTTTTGACATCCAACACCTTGGATTTCAATTTGATCTATAATGGAAAAAGGCACGTTTACTTGATAATAATCAAAAGATAATAATTTAGAAATGTTATTGAAAAAGGTGTGGGGTTTACCACAATGAAACAACAACTTTATATCAAAACTTAATCAACATTGCTATTTAATATAAAAATATCTTTAAACAGAGCGTAAAAGTTGACAAGGGCCCATATTATATGATTGTATAATTATATCGCGTCAAAGGGGAAAATTTACTAAATACGCAGAGCTGTACAAGTTCCTAACCCGGAACAACATCACATTCTGCAATCAAAAACTTTAGATATCTTGTCTAGTGTTTTTGTTGTTGATTTGTTGTCTACTTACCGTATATCATATATCCCCATTAATTGATACAGACGAGACAGTATATCATATATCCCCATTAATTGATACAGACGAGAAAGCAACAAAAATTAAAGAAAATCAAAAAAGATGAAAGAAAACGCATTGAAAATCAAAAAGTACAAACAAAATGACACAAAAAAAACAACAGGGAGAAAAAATGTGTTTTTTTTTTATCCGATAACACGAAACTTCAATCCAATAATAGTTTATACATAGGTATGTGGTGTCAACCCCTCCCTCCCCCTCCGTGAGGGACCTCATGAAGTCATTGGGAATATAACCACAGGTATGGTTCAATAGATTTTTGGTTTTTTTAAAGTTAAACATCTATTTTCTTATTGAAAACTTTTAACTTCCACAATTTTAAATATATTGCACATTAAATATAATCCAATACAGACAACTATCCAAACTTGGTTAAATTTACATATTTGGATAATTACTAAGTTGACTCGGGTGCTATAAATCATTTTAATAGTCATATATATTTTATATAATTTACATGAAAATACCAATTTTCCAATGTCTTACTATTCATACATCTTGCGTGCATATACATGTACCTGAATAAACATAAATACATATATGTACTAAAGTTCGAAATAGTTTGAACAAAATAGTGAATCGCAATAACTTAACATGATATAGGAGGGTGTGGATGGGGGTTTACAAAATAGAGAATAATGGGCAAAGAATAGAGAAAAATGGACCAATATAATAAAGAATAGAGAATAATGAGGTGCTAAAATATAAAGAATAGAGAATAATGGGCAAAATGTACAAAGAATAGAGAAAAATAGCCTAAAAAATAAAGAATACAGAAATGAAGGACCCCCCATCCAGACCCTCATATAGGCATCAGAAAGCCGAACTACATATACATTTTTGTAATTACCCACTTTTACAATCGAACAAAGAAAATATCTCTATGTTTTAAATTCTTGTCACGAACTTTTAAATAACTGTATTAGCAAATCTCTCTAACTATTCCGATTTACTGTGCATTAAAAAAAACCTTTACACACAAATATGCCTGAATTAATTTTCGTGTGAATATAACTTCTCAAACCATTGAGTACATGAGTGAAGTCGTCATTAATCAAAATAAACTTTTTACACGTGGGAACTATTTTATGAAAGAAATGGATAGATATAAATATTTTATGCAAAACATTTATTTTGAAAATTAATTGCAAACGATAAGGAAAGAAAAGGATATACTTATATTTAACTCCCCCAGACAAAGTTGACCTTAGCCATTAACTTCAGGTCTTTTTCGGTCATATAGCTCCACAACAGTTTCGGTTTATATATATACACACACATGTACATCTTAGGCTTTCAAATATTCGGCGTTGACAGTTCCTAGTGAAGATAAATCCAGAAATGGGCATCAGACGCATGAAATTTATAATTAAAAGTGCTGTTTTCATTCTTTTTATAATGAATAAAGTAAAAAGTTAAGAAAACAAAAATAACTGATATTCATGTTTATGCTGCTGGAACGTTAAAAATGCTGTAATATGGTTGCATTTTAGTCGTGGGCATTATTCAAATAACAGAATTACTAAAAAATACGTATAGTATATTATATATATATGTACTTGAGCGAAAGCTTTTGTTGATTATATATATCATGTATAATATATAGCGAAAATTATCTCTAATTATTAGTTGTGTGACATTTCTGTTGATTTCCCTGGGTTATTTCGTAGCCTGTGCAATTACTCGAACGATGTCGCTCATACAAAGTTTCAATCTAAATAACCTGGTACCCTAACTGTTAAGCAAACCAACTGACCTTTTCACTTCCTTCTGTAAATTGGTTGAAATAAAGTTTATAACCGGAAGGGTGAAGAGATTTTGCTTCTTTTGCTGCTGGTAAATCACTGTCGAGATACGGCCCTTTAACTGAAAAGGAAACATGAACATTCTTTGTCAATTTCAAATGAATAAAACTTTTTCCAATTGATATCTAATATTTTTTAAAATGCTATTATCAAATTTTTGGATTTGAGCTTTCCTAATAAAGGTAAATTCAGAAAAGCGCTTCAGACGCACCAAATTTATTAAGAGACACTTTCACGATCTAGAATTGGGTCGACACTGATGTTGGTTGACTCACGAGGGGTGGTTCCTGCGGGTAACATCAGCTCATTATCAGTAGTCAGTGCCACGGTACCGACATGTTTTATAACACACTTTTTTAGATACTCCATTGATAAATTTAGAATTTATTAAGAAACTATATAAGGTTCCAACACCCTCACGCAAAACTCTACGCACCAAATTTATAGACTGTTATTTTTATTAGTCTAAGCTGGTATTCATATTGTGTTTAAATAGTTGAAAAACAAGTCAATCTTTCAACGTTATTCATTACGAAAAATTTCAAGCTTCTTAAAAATTAAGTCCCAAATATTTGAAATTTGAGTTTTCCGTTATGCGAAATAAATGTAAATTGTTTACTAGTTTTTAGGGGGGTTCAGAACTACGATCCTGGAAATTAAGGAAACAATTGACCTGCAATACCAAAGACCATGCAAAATTTTGTGTTGGTAAAAAATATTTATAAAGAATAGTAGCCATCCGTCCATAACAGCTGATACTATACAAAATGTATTTGTTAAGGTAACAAAACTTCTCACTATATATTCATGACGGTAGTAATGGGGTACCTCACATTACGAATGACGGTAGGACGTTTGTTAAAATTACGTTAACTATAAACATTTTACTCCATTTGACGCTAACGGTAGCTACAAAATGAGATTTGACGAATGACGAAAAAAAAAGGCTCATTTGACGCTAACGGTAGCGAAAAACGAACGTTTGACGCTTGACGATAAAGGGCATTCCTACCTTATTGATATCCAAATGAATTAATAGTTTTCGAGTGTTAAATTACGACTACATTTTCACTACAATTGAGAAAATAAACATTACTAGTAATATATATAAAACGCCGTAAAATATCCAATTTATTATCGTATCCAATGTACATGTTTATTCGTATGTGTTTAGGACCCCCTTTTAAAGTAAATATTTTTCAATATTTCATCTTATTTCACCTATTTAAAGTGTTTTGTTCTTATCCATCGAATATCAAAATAACTGTATAGTTATATATGATGCAGTTGATTTTTTTGCATATTTTCCACAATAATACTGAGAGGAACAGTAAAAATAAACTATTGTTTTTTTTCAAATTTCGTATAAGAGTAAGAACAAAAATGCATTAAACAAGTGAAAATAAGTTGTTATATAAAAGAATGTTTACTAAAACAAAATAAAGCTAAAGAAAAAAAAAAAGAGAAAAAAACGGGTAATGCCCTAAGCGCATGTGTGTATAATAGCAGAAACCGTATGTTAACTACATTGTACGAATTCTTCTAGGAGGTCGGGGAGTTTAATTTAGTAGTAATTACAGAGAGCTTTTCTTTGTTCAAGTTCCATTGATCTGTTTGACATCTAGCTGACCAGCAAAAGGGTTTGACACAGAAGGTCAACTTTTGAATTTTATAAAATGTTGACATGTGAAAATACAATGGTCACTGTTTTCCAACAAATACTATACGGATACGGAGTGATAGCTGTTATTAAACAAACAGTTAACAATTCATTAAATCAAATACTTGTCAAGGTATAGATTGACTGGAAAGTATAAAAGAGTCAATATCATAGCCGTGAACGGATGTTTTGTTTATCGAATATCGGATGACAGCCGACAATAAAAATATAAAAAAAAAAAAAAAAAAAAACACTCGACCATGTCCGCTATTTTCCTGGGTCCCTTGTACAGTTATATCAAAATTATGCTATTAGACCACTTACCCATGTGATATAGCAGAAGAGATCTGACTGTTTCCCTGTCTGTCAGATCGTAACCGTACTTCTTCTCGTCGAACGTCAATAGAGCTTCTGTTGTGGGAATGAAAGCAGTAATATGGTTCTGCTCAAAGAACAACGACAAACCGGCGTCTTCTATCATTGTTGATACCTACAACATTTCGGATTTTAAATCAATGATAATTAAAGGCAAAGGAAATACAATATGAAAACATTTTATTTCTAACACAAAACAAACATGTAGGGGCCTTTAATGGTTTACTATGCGGTATGGGTTTTGCGCATTATTGAAGGCCGTTATGTAATATATAGTTGCTTTTATCTAATTCATGTTGTCTCTGGTGAATAGTGGCCTCATTGGCATGCAAAAATACTACATCTTCTTTATTTTATAATGACAGCTAGAGAAATAAGTTAATCGATAAGTTCAATCCATACAAGATGATGATGATTGGTAGTTGCTTAACGCCCATGCAGTGACAAATAAATGCATATTTAGGACTGGTAAAAGTTAATTCAATATGATTATGAACCCTGCTTTGAATAAGACCGACAGTTTGAGCCGAATTGTAAACGTTCTAGTTCACACGTCAACAATCCGCAAAAAGACATATCATTATAAATCCGAGCCGACCAGAATTTGCACCTATTTTTGCCTCATGTCTATCGGAGAAGCAGCAAATAAATACCGACTGTAAAATCTGACGCGGTCGGGGATCGAGCCCACGACCTCCCGCACGATACCACGAGACCACCAAGTCAGTTTGAACAACTGATGTAGCGTAGAATGAACAGTTTGCACCTGTCCTAAGTCAGGAACCTTATGTTCAGTGGTTGTCGTTTGTTGGTGTGGTTCATAAGACATTAGTGTTTCTCGTTTCTCGTTTTTTATATAGATTAGACCGTTGGTTTTCCCGTTTGAATGGTTTTACACTTGTAATTGTTGGGGCCCTTTATAGCTTGCTATTCGGTGTGAGCCAAGGCTCCGTGTTGAAGACCGTACTTTGACCTTTTGGTTTACTTTTATAAATTGTGACTTGGATGGAGAGTTGTCTCATTGGCACTCATACCACATCTTCTTATATCTAGTAAATGTCAACAAAATTACGCTTGTATCGGTGCACTAGCTAAGCGAGGCATAAAACTTTATCAATTGAAACTTATGTACATTTTGTTTTCAAAACATCGTAGTAAGAACATAGAACGTGAGGTCTACGTTACAAAATGTACAATTCGTAATATACTTCTTCAAAATTGTTAATACACCAATACAATAAAAAACAAATACGTTGAAGTGAAAAAGAAGAGCATGCAGATACATGTTTTACTACATAATTCGTCTCAGTCTTAAAAGAAAAAACATAATCAAAGAAAAAGTCGTGAGATTTTCTTTGCCCGAATACCGTGTCAAAGTATATTATGGTTTAATAATCTGCTGTCAATAACGCCTATTTTCCAGATGTTATTTATAACATGGTAATTTAAATCTTGGTGGATATCATTATGTCGTTCTAAACATCGTATTTCAAATATGAATAGGATAAAAGATTAAGTTATTGTCAATTTGAATCTATTTAGGTCTTACTCGTGCATATCTTTACCTTTTTATTTTGTAAATCCTTTTAATTTTGTACTTTTGATTGTTATGACATGTATTAAAAACTCTTTCCTGGTGAGAAAAGGGCTGCTCTTATAAACTGTTGAACATCGAAAATAATTTTTAAAGTCAGCAACATTTTTTTTTCTTTATTGTATACATTATCAAAGTAAATAGCTCTCAAAGTGTAGGAAAATTATACAAGGGATATGCGGTGAACGTCAATAAGACAGCAATTTAAATAATGATATAAATATACAGGAGATTGATTGATTGTTGGTTGCTTAACGTCCAGTGGCAAATATTTCATACATATTCAGGACGAAATATACAGGAGAGACCACCACATAAACAGGAATCAGTAATACAGAAGGAAGATTAAGAATTGAATGCTTCTTTTTATTAAATTTATTGGGATGTAAAAGCGTTCACCGAACGCTTCATATTAAAAATGTGCATACGATCAACGCTTTTATAGCCCTTTAAAATTATAAAAAGAAGCATTTGATTCTAAAAATTTCATTTTTATGGTACAACTATCACATTAAGATGTCTAGATTAAGCTTTTCTGTGCATTGTTTTAACATTGACACGGATGGCATGTGCAGTCATAGCTGTTGTGTTTTTATGCGGAAATAAAATAGGATATTGGAGTGCCTCGTGATTGTTGTCAGTCAAACAAAACTACAGATTATAAAGAATCATACATGTAATAAAATTATATTGATTTAACAGAAGCTATTGATTGTTGGTTGCTTAACGTCCAACAGAAGCTATTGATTGTTGGTTGCTAAACGTCCAACAGAAGCTATAAAAGATCTACCATCGACAGTAACTTCTCTAAATACCACAACAAAAAGTACCAAAAAAAAAAAAAAAAAAAAAAACCTGAACTTTTTTGTTCATCAACTTTCAATCCGTTCTCTTGTTTTAACATATAAAGTACGCTGTTTACTCCTGGTATAATTTATGCGCAGTGACGTCCAATGTGTTGTCAATTCATGCATGTTTACTACATGTAAATATATACTTTCATAAAACAAGATAGTAGAATCAATGAAACTATCGATATTAAGCGTCAGTCAACATAAGTTTATGACAAAGTTCAAGACCGGTATATTTTGCGATACAAGGCTTTAAATGCACATTTATGGTTCAAATACATTTCTGTATGCGTTATATATGCACCGTATTCTTTACATAATACAACTTGATATGTTTCGTATTATGAGTTTAAAAGGTTATCCAACCTCGTTGACGCACAACAAATATAATACGCCATATAAAACATGGGATGGCAAAACTATGTGTTGTTTTCAAGCAATACTATGATTTATACCGAGACATACTTAAACGCACAGTGGCACTGTTGCAGGAATGTTTGTTTACACTACGACCAAATGATGTGGAAATTAGAAACTATAGGTCATCGTATGGCCTTCAACAATGAGCTAAACCCATATCGCATAGTAAGCTTTAAACGTCTCCGTCAGGAATATGATAATTCTGTTCCATTCGTTCCGTTTATTGATAGTCTAGCGTTTGGGACGTCAGGTTTTATGGACCTCCCCCTTTCGAGATTTTTGTTTATACTTTTTCACACGTTTACAAGATAAACTGAGACAACTTGGGATCTGTCTTGGTAAATAAACATGTCATGTTAACATAACGATGGACATTAACATTTAATTAAATCAATAAGGCAATAATCGGCGGCCAATACATCAATATGATTTGACAGATATCTACATTTGATGACGTTTTACACAATATTACGACTTGTCTTTGATAACGCGGTTAACTAATAAATACAAGTTCGATCGGGACATGTAACCCCTACCCGTTTATTCAGTCCAACTTGCAAATGTAGTCGTTCAGTCCATCTCAGAACGTACAACTTACAAATGCAGTGACTGCCATATTCATTTCTTCTTTTTTTCAACGTTTATATCCTGCGTGATTTCTGTTTTTTTTTTAATCGATGGTAACATCATTATGTCGGATTCCTGTCATTTAAAACTATTTGAAAATGTTAAATACATGTAGCAAATAGAAAATGCAAGTCTCAGTCCCCTAAAACGTAGGTTGTTCGTGTTGTTTTGCTATTTTCACCAATACAACAGAACCCGGTGCAGCTCATATTTACAGTCGTCACTAGACCCGCATTTTAAATTTACAATCCGCCAATTGGTATGGTAATATAAATAATCCCTTATTTCCCTTCGTCCTTATTTTTCATAACAACACAACATTTCTTGAGAAAGTGCCCCCCCCCTTTCCCTGTTTCAGTTTTTAAACCCAATATAAAGACAAATACATCAATATGCTGTATGTACCTTTTATTTAAATGCTTTTGTATTTAAACAATGAATACTTTTCATTTATCGTTATCTATTGTATTGTATTCTTATCTTGAGTCAAGGTAAACGTACTGCGTGTACACATTGTTGCCAATATAGGTAGTCATTATATAAAACAATTCCAGTCCACTTTTTACTAAGTATACAAAATATGAAACGTAAGGCTAAATAGCTTAGAATTAAAATGTGTATTGTAATGTATACCGTTTCTTTCCGTATATATATATATATACATGGACATGTATATATCCAATAAAAGTAATACCTCGTTCTACTTATTTCTATAGATTTAAACAAAATTATTTATAATGAAAAAATAACAAGATGTGGTATGATTGCCAATGAGACAACTCTCCACCAGAGACCAAATGATATAGAAGTTTACAACTATAGGCTACCGTACGGCCTTCAACAATGAACAAAACCCATACTGCAAAGTATATCTTTGCAACGGATGTAATATAAAAAGCCAAGAGTTTACTAGTTCTCTCAATTGATTATCAATCTCTAACATCGGACGCACAATCTATTTTCCCATGATACATGACCAACGTACTTCCCATATGATGTTTTATGGAGAATATTAAATTATTTTCTCATGGTCATTAACTGACAGATGGCTGAACTTACCTGTCGCAATCTATTCGTTCCTGATACCAGTTCCACAATTGTTTTAGACCTTGTGTATAGGTTTTCCGGAAAAACTCCATTAAAACTGAACAAAATTCCTAATAGTGCATATTCCACAAAGATCCTCATTTTGTTTATAGTTGTTTATAGCTGAATAAACACTTTTTTCTAATAATAAGCAATGTAATCCTAAATCTGATTGTTTATTTTCAATTATTCACATTTTACGGAGGTGGTTTTCCCTTGTGAATTAAGGAAATGATACTCCTTGCATGGACAACAATTTCGAGGTCCAATGGACCATAACAAATAAAATGGGTCAATTTGAATAATTTATCAGTACGAGTGTTAATTGTAGTCTTTTCCCATTCACAAAAGTCATCGATTTTCTTAACATGCGTTTTATGAATGGAAAATATTCCCTGTTGTATACAATTAAATTTTCACAACACTCCTAAACAAATAAACTTGTTAGGTACTTCATATATTTCATCTATATTAATTACTAAACTTCGAGTCGTCTATTTATTCGCGACATATATGCACTCTCAATATTCTTCAACTGTTGGTTTCGAAATATAGGAACTGTATTTGTATAAAACTTTTATTCATCACTGAAAATCCTCAAAAAAATTTAGATTCGTCTCTTAATTCCGTAATTCTTACAACAACACATACAAAGGTACACTTTATGTGTAGAAATATTTCATTTTCTTATTTATCACAGGCGTAAAAAACTTTTACGACCGAATTTGTACTATTTATTGCATGAATAGCTGAAGTTTTAACCTTCCGTATATGCTTCAGTTTGCGTGTAAGTATAAAGATGCAATGTACGTACACTAAAGCTATATTGTTTCGTGTTCACTAAGGTATACAATTGTAGCTGTAATAGTATACAATCTACAAATCGTAGTCCTTTTTACTTATATAGATTGTTCACGTTGACGAGTGAGGAATGTGAGGTTGTCAACAATGGAATTAGTTAATAAATTGTCTCGATAAAATCTCGGATAAATATAGAACTTGAAACGTATTTTTGTATTGTTTAGTGTTACGACTAAAAGGTCCGGATATTGAATTTTGATAGCCACTTGAAATAATTAATATGATACATGTATGCGTTCATCGGATTTGCGTTTGTTCTTTTTGTGTCCATCGAAAAAAAATCACGAATTGTGTTTAATTTTAAATCTATCGGAAATCAGCTCTCACGTATAATCCGATTACATATCTTTAAGAATACTCATTTTTAATTACGATCTCCTTTTGAAAATTAGTAGATTTGAAAGAATGTTTATTATTCTTGTTTCAAGACACAAAAATATCGTTATTATTGTGACATTTGGATGCTATTATCCAAATTTAGAACATTTCGTCTGCTGCACTATATATAAACACATCTGCTTGTTTCCAAAATTAGAATCACCTTTCCACCGAATTAGTTGTCAATTTCATTAATAAATTTCATCACCTAATCACTTTGATGCCGCAAATTTCAAAATGTCAGTCGAACATGTGCACAATTTGCATACAGACGGCCAAGTAGTTAAAGCGGTATATTATATATCCAATATAAAAATATGAGCAGTTTTTGCGGGTAGCGGAATGAATGAGAAATCACTTCTTAGTGATCATCATTATACAGTTAATTAAGATCTTGTTTTTACATACATTATGAGAAAATAATCTTATTAACGGCATTCTGTTAACAATTACGAGAAATGCACATTTTCAATTACCGTATGGCCAAAACAAATACACTATGCATGTTTCTGTTTAGTTTCCTTATTCCAAAGTTTATGTGTTACGTCATAAGACAACCGAACACTGATAATAGCAGTATCGTTCATTAAACATATACACGATATATGAATGTTCCTATTTTGATTTCCTTTAATTTTACTGATTCGTTTTTAGATAATAAAATGTTGATAAATTAACTTTCTTCTGTTACGAAATTACCAGCCCAGCTTTGGAAGTTCTATATGACAACTTGTATTAACTTCCAATTAACCAATGTTTTAACACAAAGTAATGTTGACCTTTGAAATTTATCAAGTAATTGTCTTGCACAACTTTGCATGGCGGGGTATTGCTACCAACTTAACGTCTCCACTTCACGATATTATATCAAGTTATTACAGCACTGGCGACATGTATCTACACGGTTGGGAATAGGAAAAAAACACATAAAGCAGATCTGTCACAGTGTAGGCGGACTTCAATAAATTTGAACACAATTATCCGCAAAATGGAGGCGGTTGGACAATTGCATAACCATTACATTTCCCACACATAAGTCCTGTAACATACTGAGTGCAATATGTGCAACTGTATGCTGTATATATATATTTGTTTTTGAGCTGATTGCAAACCCACAGATTTTTCACGAGCTTCAAATAGCTTTAGTCTATCGTTTGCAGAAAATTGTTGAGAAAGCCCGCAACGTTCTTGCAAATAAAAAAATCCAAATAAAATCCAACTATGTATATTATTGCAGATGCATTTAAAATATAAAGTTATTTATAAAAATAGGTAATCCAAATAGTCCAAATCAAATCATTCATTCCTTTATAAAAATATGTTTTCTTAAATAATCACGTGATATACCGAACATGTATTAAAAAGTAACTTGTTCACGATAAAATTGTCCTTTTAAGAACAATATTCAGTTATAACGAATAGAAAAATTTATACTGAATCACGAGTAGTCTAATATCAATTCGATCTACAAAATAAAATCCTTTCAATCAAAACGTCCGAGGTCAATAATCTTGTGTGTCAATGTTCCAAAATGAAGTATTCAATCAAAACTTCTAAAACTTCCAAGGTAGTCATTATACATGTAAATCCGATCGATAGTCTTGTGTGTCAAGTCTTCCAAAATAAAATATTGATCCAACGTTATCAACCCTTGTCAATAGTGACTTTACCACGGTCAGTTTGTTTTACCGTAATCGATCGTAAAACGTTATTTAATAGCCACTTAAACAGGAAATATTGATGATATAAGCTGACGATCGCAAAGTTCGAACTCGTCCATCATTTGACAATCTTGCTTAGACGAGTTTTCTAAAGAAGTTGTGTTTGCGGTTGTGTTTGAGCTGGTGTGTATGTAAGAGAGAGAGAGAGAGAGAGAGCTTTATGCATATATTTTAGGGAATTGGAGCTATATTTTAACATGTTAAAAGTGTGTGTTTGTAGATAGTTATTTTCGAAGTTGCTTGAGCCTTCCCAAAAAAAGAGAATATATATGTCACGATAAGTACTGCAATTTCGTGTGTCTATTCGTCGTACATCATTCAAAAGTTGATTTAGATTTTGTATTCATACATCCACCCTTGAAAACAACTTTATACATAAGACGTATTTCTTATCTAAGGAACAATTTTACAAAATAAAACATCCTTGAACATTTTAAAATCTATTCCAATGGCACCTTTCAAATCAGTCCACTACACTATCACTCTAGACGACAAAAAAAAAATAACTAAAAGAAGTATTTAATAATTTAACATGCAGGCATGTTGAAAAACTTAATTCAATCTATATCATAATTACCAATCAGATGTATTGTGTGAATGTTCAATACAAACCAATATCTCTATAATCTCCGAGTAATTATAGAGGACAAAATGGTATTAGTGTCTCGTCATCCATGTAAATATTATTTCAAATCAAAGCTCATCGCGTTAGTAGTTTCAAAACAGCTGTCGAAAGACTTTGATCGCCGTCAATATTGAAGAACCTTTAAAGTATTTAAGATCTTTTGTGTAAATATTTGTACAAATTCTTTTCGGTTCATTGCTAGATTCTTCCTACGTTGAAATCTCGTCCTTCCACGTATCAACTGACGAGGAAGCGATGTCTGCTTTTTTTTGGTTTATTGTTCGTACTTACATGTACTATCAATTATGTTTCTATTCTTTACTTTTATTTGACGTTTGCAGTAAGGAACAGTAATTTTGTCTCAAGTGGATCGTTGTCTAATTGGCAATTATACCCATCTTTTTATTTTAAGAAAGCACACAACTGAAATTCCTGAACATCAAACAGCAAGTAACACTTAGTAATTCATAATATGCAGACATTGCTTCTGTATGTAACTGTGTCGTCGAGTAATGGTACATTTCGACACCTGCAGGCTTGTATGGTTAACAAAAAAGATGCCATGTATTTTTCGCCTTTTTCGCCGTTTATCATTTGCATTTAAAGACACTTGTTTATGTTTTTTAATAACTGGAAATAACCATGGAAGATTTACATGTATTTCGGATAGCAGCCAACTTTGACATTACAAACATGTACATATGTTGGCTGTAGATATTTGTCTCAATATTCTGAAGCGTTATGAAAACCTATTTCAACTTTTTACCCTTTTTTTCCCATCTAAATAAAAAAAGAATCTTTATAAGAAATAAATATTTTGCAATGTATAGTCCATGCACGCATTTACCTCTCAGTCTGATATGAATAATTTTATTATACGTTAGGGAGCTACCATTTGATTTTTATGGGGGGGGGGGGATGAAAAATTTTGTCCTGCCTTTTAATTTTTCACTCTATTCGGCCCTGCTTTTTTTTTGTAGTTTATCCTGACTTTTATTTACCTAAATTGTCGTCCTGATTTTTTTTTTGCAAGCGTCTCATCCTGCCTTTTTTTCTCAAAACTCCTTACCTGCCTTTTTTTTTTCAAATTTCATCCTAGCCCCCCCCCCCCCCCCCCCCCCCATAAAAATCAAATGGTAGCTCCCTTACACCAATATGTCATTAAATGAAATTGGATACCCTGCATGTATGATGCTTATCAATAACACATAATGGTCAAATAGCTGAAAGACCCCCCCCCCCCTCGTAAATTATTGAAAACTATCATTCTATTGACAATAATATCTTGTTGTAAATTAGATACACCCAATCAGGCTAACGCCATCATAGGTGTGTATAATACATTTACCTCTCAAACTGCATAATATGAATTTTTTTATTATGTCGCAAACAATGGACTTTAAATGAGGGTCTGGATGCCAGGGGTCCTTCATTTCTGTTTTCTTTATTTTTTTTACCATTATTCTCTATTCTTTATATTATAGCACCCAATTATTCTCTTTTCTTTATTTTTTTGGTCCATTTTTCTCTTTTCTTTATACTTTTTCCCATTATTCTCTATTCTGTAAACCCCTATCCACACGCTCTTAAATGGATTGCATAACTTTTTATTACATAGGAAATAATAATCGTTTATCTCAGATAACACTTTCTTGGTTGTTTCACTTTTATAAAACATAGATAAAGTTAAACCTCTTATCGAATACACGTATCTTACATCACTTACACAATGTAAATATCTTAAATAGATCTATATTCAGGTTTTTACTACTATTCTCACTCTCGTAATGTTATGACATATACAATATGACACATTCCGACGAAGATTAAACGCATTGTGTATTAAACGGATATAAATGTTTTACGATTTCTAGCGTTATAAATTGTATTTATATATTTATGTAAAAACAAGAACCAGCTTATAGAAAACCTAAATATGCTAAGAGAATATGACACGTTTTAATGATAAAGAAATGAGTTCAAAGTGAATTTTCACATGCTTCAACAGTTCTAAAGAAATAAAGAAAATAACCATTTGATAATAAATATACATACATGCCTCCCATGTCTGATAAAACATGTTGAAGTAAAACGCTGAAAATCTTTTAAATAAATAATGAACCTGTATATACTCATTGTTTTTTCAACGGAAGTCAAATGTATTTAACGGCCTACTATATAATTATATAGGTAACGGGGCAAGACATTATACTATAGTCATGAAAAGTATAAACCTTTGCTTTCCTCGTAAATTCTTCACAGAAATATATTCCTTTCTTTCAACGTTATTTAACCGAGTACGCCGATTTCTTTCTCTCTTATTCAAAACTGAACTACATTGTTAGATAGATAGGGGCGGGGAGTTCATGTGTTATTCTTTGTAATAGTACAAATCAATGTGTAGAAGCTTTGTTTAGATCGAGAGACCTTTTCTTTTGGAATGTGTTGTAGGCTTTTTCCTATTTGTTTCTAAAGTTATCAAAGAATTTGTAAAGAAAATTCATAGTTTCATGAAAATATCCATGTATGAACAGGTGGTTCAAACAACATGATTGTCCGATATAGTTTGGGTAATTCGGAACACATGTTGGCCAATAACGGACAATAGAATCTTCGTTAATCCTTGAAGAAGGGTACAATCTACTTAAGTTATTTGAAAAAAAATAAAATGATTCCAAGTTGACAAATGCGACTTCATAAGCCTTTTTCAAATTCTTATCAGTGACTTGCAAGAAGATAGCACGTTGAATAAGTGTTCAGTGAGGAAACAACATCTTGTTTACCACAGCTTAAATAAGAAGGATTTGCAGAGTTATGAATTGTAATTGATTTTTGTCTTTCAATTTGTCGTATACTAAAGTTAAGAAGAAGACAGATGATTAAAAACCGATTAATAAAATGCAATTGATACCAACAAGGCCAATGATTCTAATTTACTTCGGGATATATTCTTCATCCCGAGGGAGTAATTTGTAAGGGGAATTCGTATTCAGTCTAATTGAATCCAACAAACCGAGTTGCATCATAATTTGTTATATACAAGCCATAATGTCTATAACAGATGCATTAATATTCTCTGCGACGATAAGCTTTCCATGTAACGTCTCCGATAGGAAAACTAAATAGAAAAACAACATATCTGCTAGACAATTTATTCATTTTCGAAAAACCCGCCACATTTTCTTTTGAGACTTTCACAGGCAGTAGTCTGTAATTCAGTGGTTGTCGTTGGTTGCTGCCTGTCATACATTGTGTATTTGTTTATTGTTGGTTTTTCTTTTTTAAATTGATACACACATTCAGTCGTCATGCCGGAGCCTTTTATAGCATACAAATATGGTTTCGGTTTTGCTCAATTAATGAAGACAATACCGAGACCATTAGTTGCTTACATTTATTGCCTTAGACTCTTGTGTATAGTTGTCTAGAAAAAGTTCAGCTGAAAATAGGCCAATCTTTAAAATTTTGTACTTTTTATGAAAGGTCAAACATACATAAACATTTACCCAGTTTCAATTACAAATATTGACCCTTTAGATTAACCAAACAAAAATAAATAACAGGAAACGAGAACTATAGACTTTTTTAATCCAGGGATTGTTTATTATCACAAAACTAATTACCATATCCAAACAAAATAAACTAAGTGGACACAGAAAGTGTCACAACCTTACACTTCTTTTTGAAGATATTCTAAAGTGTTTTAAATTGTTGTTTTGATATCTGAAATTAGACATTTATTCGAATTTTAAATTAAATTTACAACCGTTCCCAGTCAGCTTGACTCCTAGTTGAATTAATTGGTGACGGATGTTATCATTTAATTTTTTTTTGTGAGTCATTTTATTTTGAGGGTAACTATGGTTAGGTACATTAAT